AAAAAAAAGTTTCGCACAAAAGTTGTTTAAAAGACAATTATAAATAAAAATATAATCTTATATTTTTTCATTTAAACAAATATTTTTCGAGTTACATTACATTTAATATGAGTAATAAAATTTATATTCCATTTTTTTCATTTTACGGTTACTTTTTATCATGTTATACTTACATTAGACACAATGTTATAAATGCATATGTGTGTATGTGTGAGTTTATTTATTTATTGTATCATTAAAGTGTAGTGTATATTGAGATACAACCGATAGAGTAGGTAATTGATTTGACGCTATATTATTTAAACCCAACTAAACGCTAAATTGTACATTCCGAAATAACAATCATATTATGTCAATTGCCACCGGAATATCTGGTAATATTTTTCTTTTTCTTTGCCTTAATCCCAACTACTTGGGGTCGGGCACCCTTATCCTAAGCTTCCACTTGACACGATCTCCCACATCTTCTACGCTCACATCAGCTGTCCTCAAATCGCATTCAATAGCATCCCTCCATCTCTTTTTTGGTCTTCCTCTATCTCTTCTTCCTTCAACATTCATTTCTATAACTGTTCTTACAGCTTTCGATTCTTCTTTCCTCATACCATGACTAAACAATCTAAGTCTATTTTCTGTCATCTTATCCACGATTGACGCAACACCTATACTTCCTCTTATATGCTCGTTCCTTATCCTATCTTCTCTAGTCACTCCACTCATCCAACTAAGCATTCTCATCTCTGCTACACTTATTCTCTGCTCTACTTTCTTATCAACCGCCCAACACTATGAACCATACATCATAGCTGGCCTCACAATTTCATACTAAATTTAAAAACTATAATTAGTATTTATTCATATATTATATTTTAAAATCAAAGAACTACTAATCAGGATATAATTAAAGAAATAAGAGTTCATGTTGCTTTTAAAATATTTCACCAATTTCTCTAAAGGAAACACTATCTACAGATTTGCATCGAAGCGTTTCTTATGATAGTGATTTTAATCACTGTCAGATATCATCTATACTTGTCCCATCTATGCCTCGTCCACACTGTGCCTCGACCCCACTGTGCTACCGTTTTTTTTTTTTATATTTTTAACTTAGTAATGCTATAACTTTTTCAAAAATGAACATATCAATTTTATTTTATTTTATAGATGTTTGATGTCATTACCTATCATTTGGTATATTTTATTTGTAAATTTGACCCTTTATCTGCCCACAGGGGGGGATTTAAAGTGACAACTTTTTCACGAAAATTAACTTTTTCAACTTGACTTTTGAAAATGTTCCAGAAGGTCTGACACTTATATATATATCTTAAATTAAAGCTTATGTAATATACTTTAATTTAAAAAAAAAAAAATTTGACCTCTGGACTTGTCTTCACTCCGAAAATGGCTACCAAATGCTATTTTCGTGTGAAAATTCTCGATTTTATTTTTTATATTTTAAACTTTATAATGCTATAACTTATTGAAAAGTGTATGGATAAACACAATTTTTTATGAGAAATAATATTTTTTAATAATCCGTTTTTCATTCGACATACTTTATCTTAATCAAGATATTAATAAGGAACTAGCAGATCATGTAGCTTTTGGAATAATACACCAATTTTTTTTAATTAAACACACTAAAGATTTGCATCGAAGCGTTTATTTTTGATAGTGATTTTAATCACTGTCAGATATCATTATACTTGATCCAACTATACCACGGCACCACTGTGCCGCGACCCCCCTGTGCTGGGTTTTTTTATTTTATTATTTTTTTTTTTGTGTCTGTTACCACTTTTTCTCAGCGCTCATCGAACCGATTTCTTTTAACAATACGTCAAAAGATCACAAATCGTATCTAGTCGAAGACATTTTTCTTAAAAATTGAAAAAAATTTCCTTCGTTCCCCATAAATAGAGGAAATCGCCATAAAAAATTACAAATTTAAAAAACGCTGATTTTCGACATTTTTTTTCAATTTTTTTATTTAAAACTGTCATAACTTTTTATAATGATAAAATCAATATAATTTTTATTATAGACACGTGAGTTATTTATCTATCATTTTGTATATTTTTTTTATAAATGTGACCTTTTATCTGTCCACAGAGAGGGATTGAAAATGACAACTTTTTCACAAAAAATTAATTTTTTTAACTCAATTTTTGAAAGTTTTTTGGAAATACTGACACTTATATATATATATATCTTAAATTAAAGCTAATATAATATACTTTAGTATGGAAAAAAAAAATACGGACTTTATTTTCTTTTCTTTTATCTTGGTAAAAATGACTACTGTATGCTATTTTTCTGTTAAAATTTTCGATTTTGTATTTTATTTTATTTTAAAATACCTTATAAAAGATTTTGAGGTAGAAAAATTTTTTTTAACTATTTAATTTTTATCTTATTTAAATTCAATAATTTTAATAAATATTAAGGACTCCATCACTATAGTCCTCTTTCGTTTGAAGAAATTTTTTATTCATATTAAAGTTTTTTTACTATATGATTTTTTATTATTTTATTATTTTTTATTTTCTCAGCTCTCACTTGACCAACTTTTTTTAATGATACATCAAATGATCACAGCTAATAACTCAATTGAGTAGATTTTCTTAAAAACATTTTGATTGTTTTTTTTTAGTTAAAATAAATCATTCAAATTAATTATTTTATGAATATTTCAATTGTAGAATATTTTTAATCATTAAAAATCACTTAGAAATCATTACTATGACTTCTATTAAAGTGATCTAGTACAAAAAAATATTGTGCTTTTCTGATAAATTTACAGTAAATAGTAATTATACAATTTCCAGACTGCATATTAATCTTAATACTATTTTTGTATCTCATAAAATTTTCCATTTAATAATGAAATATTAAACTTGAAGTCGAGCTTAAAGTTATGGTTACAAATTCAACTTTCTTTTTATAATAAACTTTCAAAAAATCAACCTTAAAATAACAAAAAAAATAGGTTAGAAATGATGTTTTGCACTGATTATTTTTAAAGTATTAAAAATCAAAAACTTTAATAATTAAAAAACAATTTTTTGTGTTTTTAATAATTCTTTTACGTAATAAATCATTTTAAAAGAAATGTTAATAATTTCTACTTAAATCATGGTGTTTAAATAGATGATACAATTGAAATATTCATAACTATTTTCCTTATAGTTTTTAACTAATTAGTAATAATATCAAAAATTATTGGTGATGGAAAACATATAATTGCTGATTTGAAATTAGCACGATAAATTGAATAATAAAAGTAAAATCTTTTTTACTCTGATAACATTTTTTTTCAGATAATTTATTCATAATTAACAACAAATTATTGTCTAAAAAGCCCTTCAATTTTTATACACGTTTGCCATAAAAGTAATAACTACTTTATAATTTTTTATAAATTCGCCGCAAAAATTTTAATACTAAATTATTAAATATCAAATTCATACTACTTTGAATTGCATCAAAGCGTTTTTTATGATTGTGATTTTAACACTGTCAGATATCATCTATACTGGACCCAACTATACCACATTCCCACTGTGCTGGGTTTTATTTACTATAATAGTAGTTTAATATAAGACAAAACTTATAGTTAATTTTTATAAATAAAAATACTTCTTTGAAACTATAGGTATTAATTCAGGGAAGGGACTGGGGTGCTTCGGCTCCCCAATAGTTGCACTATTTTTTGTTTTAATAACACAAAAATTATAACTGCAAAATTGGACGCCAATCGATATGGTTTTTTTTAAATAATCAATTATAGTTGAATATTGAAAATTATAAAAAAAAATAGGAAACAAAAATGTTAAAATATATTTGTCTAAAAAAAAAAATATTACTTTGATTTTCCATTAAAACCAACATTTAACGATACCAAAACAGAAAACTGAAGAAAATACTAACACTAAATATTACATACTCTTGACTTTGACAAAATTTTGATACTATTTTTACAGGCGATTCGATTAGTGCGATCTTATACATTTTCAAATTAATTTAAAAATAACTTTTACCCTTTTAAAACAATTATAAGAATTTTGATTTTTTAAATATAAAAAAAAATATACAAAATATTAATATTGCATACTGGGATATTTCAATATTATGTTACCAACCAATCATAATTGTTAGTTCACTTATATAGCTACCCACCTTAATGAGGTTGATTGAGAAGTTATACTATATGAGCCTTACACAATTTGAGTTCCTCCTGGATTTTTATTGTAGTTACGATTTACTGCCCACTAATATACAAAAAGAACAGAAATTACACTATATATTTTTAGTAGTAAAATTTCTGATATCAATAAATGTATTTGTAGAACGATTATAATGATAAATACTCAAAAATTAATAATTGATAAAATGATGATCTGTAACAATAAGTCTTAATGCTTACGTTTTAGTTAACTGTAAGTGCGCAACTGGATTTTTGTAGGACTCTAATACACAATTGTATAAAATATTTAGTTCCTTTAGTTCTTCAATATTCAAGGTGACACATTTAAAGTAACTTAAATAGGACACATATGTTTTTTTTTGCTGCAGTATTCTTATATAAATATAACTAAATACTATTTAGTAAATATTAAATTTAATATACAATTATAATTGTAATATATAATTTTGGATCAAATGTTTAAAATTTAATTCTGCATAAAAATAACAATATTTATTAGAAATGATTTGTAAGATCTTTTGATAAAAATTAAATTTTATAAATGGTATTACCCACACAAAATATAGCTAAAATAGTGATATTATTCTGCATGAGAAAATTTATTAATACTCTTCACAAAATACTTCTTTTCCATATGTTAACTTTCATTGTGGAGAGGGGTTCAATCCTTTATTATTACTATGAGTTTTACTAACCTAAATTTTATCATTTTTCAAATTTAATCAAGTTAAATATAATCTTACCTATAAATATTTTTAATTTAATAATTATAATAATTAAAAATTCAAACCTGATTAAACAAAAAATTATATTTTACAATTATACAACATAGAATTAGGAAATGTATAAATTATAAACAAGAGTAAAATAGAACAAATGTACAAATTTCATTAATTAATTAATTAATTAACCAATAAATATTTTACTACTACAGAAACTATGAAAAAATAATTTATAATTTTTTCAATTTATCTGCAACACTATCCGTCATTTCATTTTTTAAAAGTTTATTTATATAATCATCTAACTCATCATGATCATTATATTCATTATTTTTATTAACTGACATAGATGTAGGTTCTAATGATGATTCTTCTTCATCGGAACTTTCTGCATCAAAATACTTTTCCTCATCATCAATTGTTTTAATGACCAAGTTATCATACTCTGGATTATTATCCACTTTGCTAAACATTTTATAAAAATAAAAATAAAATATATTAGTTAAGAACTTTAATATACATTAATCAATCAAAAGTATATTTATTATAATACTTGTAGTCAAAATCTTCTTCTTGTCCACTTAGAAATTTTTGAAACATATGTGAACGGAACTCATTCAATAAAAGAAACCTTTCATTATCACTTAATTCTTTGGTATTATTTGGTACTTGATTAAAACCATGAGTTTCTTTCCATCGACGTTTTCCAATTTTTACAGTTGTTTGTTTAGCATTACTATATTCACCCCACATAGATGATGATCCATGGTATTCAGCAGTACTTATAGATTCATCATCTGAACTATTATTCACATCAGAACTTATAACTTCATCGGTTTCTTGCTTTCTTTTTAAATTATCTCTAACATCACGATCAATTTGTTCAAATAGTACACCACTCAGTCTGAAACAATAAATAAAATATTATTAAAATAAAACTTTGTTTAAGATAACCGAATAAAAATTTATATTTACGAGCTTGGGGCAGACTCTAATTGATCAAAGCCCATTTTTTCTTCAGGACTAAGGTATTGTCCTACTAATTGTTCCCAAAGCAGAGGTTCACGACTACGCATTTCACTATCATTAAAATAATCACCTTTAACAAGTTCTAAAAGAGCTTGATATCGTCGATTTTTACAAATAATCTATAATAAATAAAATATGTGTTAAAAGAGTTGATAAAAATTTTATACTAAACACACTTTTTTAGATTTTAATGACCGACTCAATCGATGGATGTGAAAATTGATTTCATAATCATCTTCATTCATATTTTTAAAGTACTCCAGATGAGTTTGGAGCAAATAATCTCCAAATTTGTATAAAAATCTTGAATGACTTTCGTTTAAAATATCTCCAGCAATTTTTTTTCTTTCTTCAATTGTTATATCTGGATCACCTTTTTGTTGACTTTTAAAATTATTATCTGACGCATTTTCAGAAACATGATCAATTATGTTTTGTATCAATACTTGATTTTTTTCAGGGTCTTTTTTTGTATTTTCTGTTATTACAAGTGGTTCTGTCATATCTATTTTTTTGAAATTTTTACAAAAATATTTATAATAATAACAGTATTTTATAATATTAAAAATATTGTTTACGCTTAATATTTGTGCTTTTGATTGAAAAGAAAATTGACATACTACCTATTTGCAATAATAGCCAGATAACATGAAAAATTCAAATCTTACAGAAAAGACAAAATAAAATTTAGAATTATACAGTTGTTAATAAAAAATTAATTTTTTGTCAGGTTCTCTAAAGGAATTATACCTTAATTAATGTTTTATGTAAAAATCAGAAAATGAAAAATTTTGAGTTGAGATATTTTTTATCATAATAGATAAAATGTAATCTTACTATTTTAACCTATAATCTCTATAAATATTAAGTGTATAATGGAGTTTTTTTTGTAGATTACATTTTAATATAATAAATACCCAGATAGCAATTTTCAAAAATAATGTTTTAAAAAATTTTTTATAAAATTAATTTAACATTATAAAAATATTATTAAAAAAAAATACTATCAGGGTAATAAGGTTATTTTATTTGAAGTATCTAAGGATTAAAAATACAATAATTCTTTCATAATATATTATAATAAATATTGTTTCCTTAATTTAAAATATTATATTAAAAACAGTTACTTCTAGGTAAAAAAAAGGTATGTGTCATATCAGTCAAATTAAAAAAAAGGACACCCACTCACTGTGTTTCTTAAAAAAATATAACCTGAAGCTCCAAATTTTGATTTATAAAAGTATTTATGACTTGTTCATCTTTGTAGAATCTTACAATAGAAAATTATAGGTCACTAACACTAAGTTTATATATATATATAATTAAAAACAATAGTATAATTGAATTTAGAATGAAAAATTATAATATGTACAATTATTAATTATTTTCATTAATAAAATTTAAAATATTATGTAAATGTGACTTTAGAAATAGTTGTAATGATAAGAATAAGAGTAATAATTTATCTCTTATTAGCACTAGCTAAACAATAACACGAATCAAGATAATATCCATTCTACTGTTAGTAAAAATTTATTATCTTTTCATTAATTGATCTAAAAATTATTTTTTAAATTTCTCTATTTAGAAAAAACGATTAAATTATAATTTTTGTAAAACATTAGTTGCGATAAATGTTATTTAAAAATTTCTTCCATTATTTTAGTTTTTATCAGTATTAACATTTTTAAATGGTAGGATTTATCACAAACCGGGAATATTTATCAATTTTAAATTTTTTGTAAGATAGAATTTTACGGTTCAGTAGTGCTGATAAACAACTTATAGTGAACTAATATAACAATATTATTTTTAATGCTAAAATCAAAATAGTAGTTTTTTGCAAAAGAAAACTATTGCCAAAAAAAAAATTATTTCTATTTTAGTTGATAAAGTTTTAAAATTTTTTTATATATTCATTGTTTCCGTTAATAAAAAACCCAAAATTTTAGTATTTATATTTAACAAGTAATGTGCTATAAATATTAACGTTTCCTATCATAATTTGGTTGTCATGGCATCCGGCTGATGTATTGATAATAATTATTTGGTATGTTTACGGTTAAATGTTAATAATATTTGCAATTACTAGAAGAGAACAAAGGATCCGGGAAATAAATTTAATTGTTAGTTACTGACGTATTTCAATCAATTTTTTTTCAAATTCTCTCGAAGAGTTTCGATTATTTAGTAATCTGTTTAAAGTCATCCACTTTTTGTAAGATATTATTAAACTAATATATTTATATATAATGTAACTTTTAATTGTACATGCCAACTTTTTAAAGTTTTTTTTATATAAGTTTTATACATTATAAAATGATTTGTTCTATGTTTTATTTTTTAATATTACTTTTGGTCATTTGAAATGCAATTTATGTATTAAGTTTTTGAATTAGTAGTACCTTAACTGACTACTGGAAATGTTTTTCTAGAACTATTTAATTACTGGAATATTGTACTTTCAGGTAAATATGGTTCTTTTACACGTAAAACATGGCGATGAAAGTCAGTTTTTATATGAGACATCTTTGGAAACATTAGTTGATGATTGTACTTTAAATATTACGACTATTTATAATGGACGTTTAAAAATATCTAGGATATGTAGTGGTATGTAATATTATAAGTTAAATGAATTTTTAAAATCTTATTATTTATTTTTAGAATTGGAAGAAGTTAAAAAACATGGCACATTATATCCACCAGAAATTATGGGTTTGACTGATGAACAAGTGACTGAATTGAAATTAGTTGACACATGGGGTGAAAAATGTCTTCCTAGTGGTGGTTATACACTCAATAAAGATCCCATTGGCCGAAGGAATGGTAAACAACCTAATGAACAAATGCAAATTGTGTTGACTAAAACTATTGAAGAAGTTAAATCACTAGTTTCTAAGGCAAGTATTTTTTAAAACTAATTGTTAATTTATTATTCACTTAAATACATTTTTTAGAAATTAGTTCAATCACAAATTCCTTTAACTCAAAAGAAAGTTCAAGAAGCATTAGATCTATTAAGAGGTGTTGTTAGGATAGTTTATCCTATGAATCTTCCCCCACATGATAATATTAGACTTGAATTGGAGAACCAAGAAGACTTAACAGGGACACATGCTTCGTTAGAGGTATGTATTTTTAAATTATACTGTAAACAATTTTATTGTTTGCTTTATTACCATTTTTAATAATTTTTTTTTCTATATTTAACTAGGTGATCGAACCTAATGCAGCTCAGCTTTGGTTTTCGGGGCGTGAACTATTACGTGATCCTGGTAAAAAATTAAATGATTTTTTGGGCCGTAATGAAAAAACTAAAGTTGTATTAAAATTGACTAAAATTGGATCAGGACCACCAGCTCGTGAACCATTATTAAACGAACAAGATCAAAAATTACTTATGGCACATGCATATAAAAAACAAGAAGAATTAAAGGTAAGTTAGATTAAATATGTGTTAAACTAATTAATTTCACATAAATGCACTAAATAAATAACAATTAATGTAGTGTATGTAATTTTTTTTGTAAGTATAAGAAATGTTTTAAGTTTTTTGTTCAGTAGGTATATGTAATTCTTCTTTTTTCTTGTATTAACTTTTAGTTTGGTTTTAGTTTCTATGAACATGTGAGTTTTTATTTCCTATATTATATTTATTTACAGAGTTTATAAATAAAAATCTATTTAGGTTAGTATGTAAAATTTACTATTGGTAGCTCTCTTTCATTAAATTATTGTTAATTTAATAATGTATCCAATTTAATATATTTATTTTGTATTACTATTAATAAATATTTTCATCAATTTTAACAAACAAAAATATCTCAAACACTGTAATATGAGATTTTATACTAAGAAGGTTATACTATTTTTCAATTTAAAATTTTTATAAACTCACGAGTAATGTTTAATGATCTATTTTTAAAAAGTATCTTTGTTGTATTATTAAATTAAGTAACTGTAAAATGTAAACTACAAAATGTATTAGTAGGTACAACATCCGTGCCTAACTTACTAAAAACTATATATAGTTATTGACTATAGTTTTTAATTATTTAAATTTTTTATAAATGAAGTGTAATAAACTATTTTTATATGTGTATGTTTATAATATATTAATTAGTATTAATATTTCAGTTAAATATATTTTTACTTTAATTTAACTTTTTCTATTAAATAATTCTTATAATAAAAAATAATTCAAATATAAATAACTAGGCTTTACATAATTATAGTTACTACCACTATAGCTTATAAATGCAATCAGCCAATCCATTTATGTGCACTATTCACTACATAGATTAAATTATAACTTGGTTTTCTAGCAAGTTATATGTAGAATACTGAGTGATTTTTTTGGGTTTAAATACCTTATTGAGGGATTGTGTTAAAATTTTCTTTATAATACTTTCTGTTTTAAATTTTATTCGGTTAGAGCATTTTAAAAATTGGAAAAAAAATATGAGACATAATTATGCCATCCTTAAAAAATCACTCTAAATATTGAATTGTAATACTTATTATTTGTTGCTTAAGACATTTAAATTATCTTCACAAAATATTAAATTTTTATAATTTACTCGTCCCATGCGTTTTTTTCAAAAACAGGTCATAAATATTTTAGTTTAATTAATAGTTTAAAAGTATAATTTTATATTTCTTCCTTAAAATAGAGGTTGTTCCCCATCTTTTTTATGAAGGAAAATGTTCTAGTTGGATGATAATGTTGGTTAAATCATTACAATAATAATTTATTGCTTTTGTAAAGGGCGTCTGTATCATCCATATAAAAAAAAACAATTTATTTTTAAAAAGTGTAGAAAACCATTTAATGATACGGAATAGTTGCTTATATAAATAATATAGTTTTAAAAAGTCCAGGGTTATTCGAAACTTTTTCGTGTCTTCTAAATTGAAATGGATATCATTATCTTAAAAATTGTTTTCACTATATGTATATTAAACGTGATTCGAGTCACGAGCATTCATTATTAACTTGCAAACGTTTCGGATTTCTGCGGATGTTTCTAGTTTCAACATAATGTATAAGTTAAATTTGACTGGTATTTGAGTCGCAATTACAATTTACCGTCGTTAAAACTCATCTAAATTAAAAGAAACTGAACAATTTATATATTGCTCGTTGGCTCTGATACGATTATAAAATTTGACTTGTCGTGTCTTTGAAAACCTCCGCATAATACGCCACTTTTGAAAAGATTAGTAATTTTTTGTTATTGTAACTAGCAGGGGACGGGGTGAATAGAAAAACGTTGCGTGACGCCAAACTGTACAGTGTTAGTAACAAAAATAATTCATTACCATTGGCATTCGGGGTTGAAATTATTATTGTTTCGGGTCGTATGCGGTTAAATTGAGTTCAACGAGTTCGTCCTACGATTTCTTTGGGCTTCTAAAGACAATAACGGTTATTTTTTTTATTCTTCCGCCGTTATGTTCCTCTCCCTGTCTGATGTTGCTCGAGACTGGCGCTGGCACGAACAGTTATATTTAAATCATTATTAATTGTACATTTATATGAGTTGGTTGTAGTAACATGTAAATAATGCAATAAACGACGACTCGTCTCTGGCAAAATAACTTAGATACTGGTATTGATTTTGTCTTTTAAAAGTATAATATTATTTATATGTGTATATCAATGTTAACCTTGTGTGTGTGTTTGACCATTTAGCACCGCCCTCTGTGGCGCCGTTTTAATACGTTGACTTGATTTGTAATAAAATGTCAGGACGTCAATTTTTTGAGCGGCAGATGAAAAACTGTTAATGGTGGCAAAGAAACGCAAATAAGTCGATATGATGGGCAGTGAGTTTATATTATGGAAAGCACAAGCCCCGAGGCTTATTTGAACATTCTATCGAGCTGTCTATTCTGACTCGCCTCGCCTTAAACTTATTATCGATAGTTTCGTTGACGAAACTTGTCACAAAATAAAAAAAATGCTAAGATAGTTTTTTTTTGTTTTTTTTTTTTATTTAACGTGTGATAAACGCTAACAATATTACAATGCGTATAAGAATAATAATTCAAAACTTTCAAAAATAATGTATTAAAAAAAAAATCACATAAATTTTAGTGATTCTTAATATAATTCTTATAGTTACTTAAGTCTTTCGTTAAAAGTTTAACAGCACTGACTGGATTTATAATGCATTTCGACAGTGACAATGTCAGTTCCTAGACGAATTTATACATTTTTATTTTTATAAACATTTCTATGTAGTTAATATATTAACTTAATAATTGGCAAAAGCTCGTTTGTATAAAAAAAATTGTTAGTGGAATAAAAAAAATCTCCAAGTAAAAAAGTAAAAACTTATAAATTCTGATTTTAAGGCCAAGGCGGTGTAAGTTATAATAAAATATCGTTAATATAATGTTGGGAATTACAAAATAAACGTGTGCGATTGTGACAAACTTGGTCTGGACTATTTTTTTGTCCTCTTGTGTATCTCGTTTTTAGTTGTGCATTTTTAGTGAGAATTTCTTAAAATACATGCAACCATTGGAGATATCTTAAGAGTAAGTTTATCGCATCTAAGTATTTCGATTAATGGTACACTTGTTTTATCTAGACCTCTAGACACTTGTCTAAAGATGGCTGTGGACGACCTGCACTTAAGTCAGCTGATTGCGCTACCAGCGTTTCGATAACGCTCAACTCTTGCATCTCTTCGTTCTGTCTTCTCGATTTATGTACTTTAGGTGGTACCTTTTGCATAAAAGGTTCGTCTGGCCCTATACCTTCTTCGCCGTCTGCACACCATTGGCACGTCATCCGCGCGTCATCGCCAACTTTAACCGTTTGGTGAACGATGAGTAGCGTTAGGAACGAAATTGCAAATAGAATTCCAGGCACGGTGACTCCGACCATTAGTTCCCACCACGTCTTGTTCAAATCAAATCGAGCCAATGCGACAAACGAATCGTTCTGAAATTAAGTACATAATTACAATTTTTATTTGGTAAAGGCGTGTACGATAATCATCATCTTTTATGCTACTGTCTGTCGTAAAGGAGACTAAAAAACTTGTACGGCTTAGCGAAACGGAATTAAACTATTCGATTTGGTCTGTTCGCAATTACTTAAAAGATAATCTCTCAAACCGAATCACACGTACTTTTGTATAGAAACAAGGAAATCGGCTTTGTGCCGTGTGGTTTTCCCCCGCTCTTCCGTGAGTGTTTGTAAAATCTTTGCACTCATTGCGTAATGTATTTACGCATCCTTGCTGGTTAACCGACAGTCTACTTGAGTTGTACACAGTCAGCGATGACTGTGCGGGTACGTACTCGTTATTTTCGTCAAGAAGACGACTGCTATTCTCGTATATAGACCAGAATGTCGTGAAATTGATAAACGGTTGTGGCATCAATGATTCGTCGATAACCGTTCCGTTTATGCAGTCTATAGCTCTATAATAAAAATAATGATTATATTGTTTTTTATTCTAGATAAATCAAGAGACCCACCTAAGAGAATTACTGCTGTCCTGAATAATACTGTTACAACTGGCCATGAATATGCCAATAGTTGAGTTTTCATCTGTCCAGATTTCTTTCGGTTCGGATAGTTGTTCACCATGAACCGCGTTTCCGTTGGCCCGGTTATAAGCCACTATTCTTTGACAGTTTCCCGTATGAACTGTGTCGCCAAGCCTCAGGAAAATGTTGACTCCAGTTGTAGTAATTTTGTTGCAGAAACGATCGCAGGGAAATGGCCATGTGATTGTATTACAGCTATCGAAATGAAAAACAAATAACAGGGAATTGCCGTTTTAAAAGAGTTTCGCTTTTTGAGACGATCACATAAATTATCACATCTTTACCTGCCGTTGTCGCAGTGGAAGTATCCATTGAGCTTTAAATTGTCTCGGTCGCTGTCGATCGTTGTCGAGTTGATGGCGTAGTAACACTGGTACAACTCCGACATGTTCGAACAGTGACCCAGTCTGCAGGACATAATGCCGGTCAGCCCGAGACACTCTCTGTTGTTATTACAGTTGTACCGTTTTAACGTGTCCGGATTGGCCTGTAACAGTTGAAGAACAAATGAGCTTTTGTGGAGACAATAAAAATGTATTAAAGACGGTAGTGTACGTGATTCTGCCAAGCCGGCGAGAGTGACTCGCATGCGAAGTGTTGGTTTTTATTATTATTATTTTTCTCATAATGTCAATAATAACGTTACGGTCGTCCCCTTTGCGATAGGTACGCGTTATAGATGTATATACTTTTTTAATACACAATGAAATAACTATCAGACGCGTTATTGATCGTAATATTCGCGTAGGGTTCGACGGAGTATTGTGTATTATTAAAAAAAACTCGTTTTTACATATTATTTTAATTTTGCCTGGGTTAAGGTATCAATTGCGTGACGGCCGTGTGTGTAAGGTGTGCATTTTGCGGTGGAATTAACTCGTTATAAAATCGATCTAAAAAATACATGACATAGTAATTTATGCGGGTGTACTGAAATTCACTTTTCAATTCAAAGGCTTCGAAGTGAAAACAGTATGTCGGGTAAATAGTGTAGAGCAGTAATTGGGTGCGGGTAAAGGTGATGGAAACTTGCCTGTGGACAAGAGACACTTGTCAGTCGCGTGCAGTTCTCGACGCCTATTTCGGTGCCGTTTTGTCTTACAGTGACAATAAACTGCGGACAAGTGCCGGACGCTTTCGTCAAACACCATTCGGCGCACGATGTCCACTCGCAGTTGTTGGATACCGTCGAATTGATTGTCTGACACATTATTGGCACTGTCTCGATGGCAGCATTGAACGCCCTGTATCCCGGCATGTAGATTGCCACCGACAGATACACTAGCGACACGGAACTCAACACAAATGTCAGCTGACACACACATATCAATCCACATATGTGCCGATCTTGTTCAGGTATAGGTTTCGGCGGTAAATTGGATTTTTTTTTCTTACCTCTTCCCTTACCATCTCCACCGCCTCGATCCTTGGCCGCCATCCGGTTTGATCTCCTGAATTTGCATAATGATTTTTTATCAATATTATTTTACTGGAAACTCTACTACGAGACATTTATAACATTCTTTCATTTCTAATGTTGAATAATATTATTTATTTCTGCAAGTGATAAATTTAAGTCGCGTCGAGGGGATACGTTTCATACGATAATGTTAAAAACAGTTTTGTCTTCTGAAGGATAATTTTTTTTTTCTAATGAAATTCCTTCTATGCAATATTTTACAAACATCACTGACCTCTACATGTTCAATACATTCTTATTTTAATTCTATAACACGTTTTTAATAATTTATCGAGTTTTCATTGCTAATGTATGTAATGGAACCTTTAACTGAAAAAAAGGAGGAGTTTCCAATCAAAATTGACGTTTTGGTATTTTTAAACCGATAATTTACTTATGTTGGAATTTTTGTTAGTATTCACTTATTTTTTAGACGTTAATGTCAACTTTTTTTCGTAGTTATAAGAATGCTAATTTGTAGAATTTAATCATTCGACCTTTACTTAGTTGAACTTTAGGGTAAAATCAAGAGGCTATAAAGTTTTTTTGAAAAAAATATGAACTGTAATAGTAAACGACAAAAGAAAAAGATGAACTATAATATATGTTTCTTTTAATTTAACATTTTCGTTGTATAACAAGTATAATACACATATTATATATTTAGAATACATTCTGTATTGTCTAATTCAATTAATTTTGTTTATTAATTGCTATTTATTAAATATATTGAAATAAAGTGCCTCGTACCCGTATTTATATAAGGGTTTTTAAATTACTATAAATAATTTATCAACATAAAAATTTAATTTTTGTTAGTAATTAATTTATATTATTTATCCAAAATATCTAATGTCATTGTGCTAAAGTTTTGAATAGTTTGTTTGTATGTATTTTTTAATATCATATTTTCGCATGTCAACTGGCTCTTCGTGTCTACTCGTTATTTTTTGTGCTTAGTACCACGTTATACAGTTGTATAATTCGTTGTCGTATATCTTAGTTTATGCAATGCAATAAATACTATAAACATTGTACGATTGTACGCATGACCTCATAAAATTACCCTTCAACTTTATGTTAAATAAAGAATTAATAATGAATAAGTTAAAACTTCCAAAAACTTTAAAACCCATTAAATTTTCTTTCGTTTTAAAATTGCATATCAAAGAAAAAATATTAACTTGGAATGACGAATGAATTAGTTTGAGAAAAAACAATTGATATACATTTGTCTTATAATTTTTTATTAATAAAACTGTAACTGTACTTACTTTATGGTTTGATTGTTGAGTTATTATCGGTGGAATATCTTTGCAAAGCATATCAGACGTTTTTCAATCGTTTTCTACGTACTGAGTTTTATTACTTCCAGGGTCATATTGCGGCATGACTTTTTTTACTAATGGCTATAATCCAACCAGAAAAAATAATTTTTTACGATAAAACACGCATGTTAGGGCGGGCTTAACATCTATCACTCCAACCGACCCATCTATGTCTACGGCTGTCTAGTCAAAAACTGTTGCACCACCGCCACCGTCAAAGTATATTCGAACGATACGCGCGGTTTCTGTAGAATGACACTCCCCTATTTATTTGACGGTGCTGCCGCTAGCACTAGGGTATATTTCTATGAACGAAACAGCGTTGCCCCTTTACTCAAATTCAACAACGATATCTACCGGAAAAACTTTCAATCTTGATGAATTTTTTCTTTGGTACCGATAGACGAAGAGTTCTGATTTCCTCTCGTTTTTCATTACAGGATTTCATAATTTTGATTATGATTGAATGTGTGAGTTCAGTTTGAATACTTATTATATTTGTAGAAATATCTTATAAAATAATTGACTCAAAAAAATGTTTTATTACAGTATATATATATTGTTATTTTCTTTCAAAATATACATTTTAATATCTTAGAAGGATTTTTTTTAAAAAAAAAACCCCCATAAAAAATGGGCTATTTTTTTTTGAAAATTTTCTTTGAACATAAAAATATAAATCATTTAAAAAAAAACGTTGTTTTCATTTAAAATGAAAAATTATGCCTTCTATACATTTGTGAAACGTCAATACTAGATAAACAATACACCAAAGTTATGAGAAAGTAAAAGTTTATTAAAAAATAAATGTAGTTTCAGTATAAAATTAGAATTATTATTTTTATTTTAACAAGCATTTTCCGATAGAATAAAAAATAGTAGTATTCCATGGTAATTAGTATATATACTACTTGATTTTTGTATTAATATAATTATTATTACTATGATAATAAAAAAAAAATTAACAATTGATAGAAGCGAAGCGGACCGTGTCTATATCGTGGAATTTTATAGCTCTCAATTTTAATGACTTATAATTAAATTATGTTTAAGCGCTCGCTAAGTTTGAAGCAATTAAGTCGTATAATCAATACAATAATAGTTTTGTTATTGTTTGTTTTATACACAATGAAAATGTTAAATTTTCACTGTATGAACACCCGTTACAAATGATCTTGCATTATTAATCATATTGTCTTTATTTAGTAGAACAAAACGTTTTCCGACGAAGGATTGTTTGTTCAAATTTACGTGACTGTCGCGTGAAATTTGTCATACCAAATGTAATACAATGGAAATGAATATTTTTTTAAGCCTGTTAGGGTATTAAGAATTATTTTAGCATCCATTTTCTCGTGCTATATATTGAATGCAATCAATAATCATCGTCTTCTTCGTCTGTGCTGAATGGCCGTGTTGACAATTTTCTCCTAAAAAACAAATAGTTTTCAATGTTCATTTGTAGTTTCGTAGTCTTATTATTGTTTGTTAAAATATTAAAGAATACTAATATTTGCATAGTAATTTAAACAATCGGTTTGCCTTAAAAATTGTAATTCATTGAATGAATTATGGGTTAAAATAATTCTTCTGTTTGTCTCTTGTTATTTACTCACCTAATGACTAATTGAGGATTTTCTATTTTTATTTTTATTTTCCTTTCCATCATGAATTCCTTCTTTAACGCTGGACAATACCAGAAGCAAAGTACAGCGCAAGACACTATGAATAACGTCCAGGGTATAGCTACTGCTGCTACTAAAGTTTTGACCGTTTGATACCAATCATATTCAGCTACTACTTTATCTAAATATGCTCGGCTGTAGTAGCACGGAAATATTTTTATTTCATTTTGTACCACGGGGTCTTCAGCTATCATACTAGTGACTCCATATTGATACAGTAATGTGGTCGAAGACTGATTGATCAAATTAAACATAGAGTAATATGATTCTGAACCGATGTAACCGTATTTGCCAGCAAATGCTGTGCAATTGACATGTGGTGGGTAGCCGCATCCTTCGGTGTTCACTAAAAATTGTACTGTACTACCTGACCACTGAAGCGATTCCACTGGCAAAGTATTCTATAAAAAAAAAAAAAAAAAAATACTTGTATTTAATTGAACAAATGTCGAAAAATAACATTAAAATTACAGCGATTTAATACATTAATTACTACGCAGATTTTTTTAATCATTTATTTTTTAGAAATATTGTTTTAGTTATTTTTTCACACCTCTTTATATTCTTGATATGGTGTCGTAGAATAGTTGACAGTGATTTGATGACATCGAGTAGATGCTGAGGTACAACCTTCTTTACATGATGACCAGGTACACCTACTGAGACCTGTTGAAAACACGTGTTTATGTAGTGCACATGTACCTGGTTCTGGAGAATAACGAGCTATCAATCTGGATACAGCTGGGTCAACAACAAACGGTACCAAAAACAAAAATACCATAAATGAAAGCGCTGCCGTTGTGCCTAAGCATAGACTGACTTTAGGCTTCAACCGCTGACAAAATCCGTCTTCATTGGGCTCACCTAGCAGCCTTGATCCTTCATCTTGACTGACCGTTCGGCTTCGTTGTTTTTCATCGTTTTCATCATTAGGTGCCATTCCTAATGTAAAAGCGTTTTATTACCACCTGTTATTAAAAAATAATTAAGAAATTATTATTAAATATATATATATATATATATATATAAATATATACATAAAAACTAGTAATATAATAGATTTAAAGTGTTATTAGCGACGTATTAAAATAGAGCGAAGAGTACTAACTAAATTTTCTAGTTTTTTAGTTGTTAAAGAGGTGGGTTGGTTTGGGTTTGGTTTATAATTTTCTATAAGTATGTTAATTTTTGAACTTCTTATACATGTTTATTACCTAATTTAATTAAATATATTACCTAAGAGTAAATATAACATATATGTATATATTGTCTCTTTAGAAGAAATGGATACATGTTCTCGGATATATTATTTCTAGGAATATTTTAGACGCGAAATATTTTATATTGCTTCTTACTTTCCAAATTATAATGTATTATGACACAAAAAATTGCAATTTTAAGGGATATCAAAATAATAGTACCCTCTAGCAACAAAATATCAGCATTTTTAAGTGTTAACTATATAGAATAACAAATGATTGTATATTTGAACGGCTCTGTACAAAAACAAGATAATTCCGTATTTAAAATTTTTTAGGAAACTATAAAATATATTTTTAATATGTATCCTAACCTATCAGTAATTTTATGAAACGCTTTATTTTTTCAAATAATTTATTGTAAGTATTTTTTTTCTGGATAGGTGTATTAATTTTATTTAGAACTATCAAGATATGATTTAGAATAAAAAATAAAGTTATCTTGTTTTTGCACAGAACCCTTCGTTTTTACCTGAGAGTCAAGTAAAATATATATATTTTTTTCTTTAATAAATATAATTACTTACAGAAAAAAATGATTTAAATATGTTTTTTTTTTTGTTATCTTTAGCTACGTTAAACTTTTAAATTTCTTCCCATATGTCTTTTAAGAATGTAAACTTTGTTTTTTTAAATGGGAACAAAAATTTTGAATTTAATAAAATGTTCGTGTTTTTAATTTTGTCATTCTTATAAAGCATAAAGAATGAACATAAAAATACTTCATGATAAATTGAGAAAAATATGGAACCATAAGATACGAATAAAAGGATTATAATTATAATTTTTATTTTTCGATTAATAACTAGTTAATGATGAAAGAATCACTCTGTATAACACAAATATCTTTGGCAAAGTATAATTTAAAATATGACATTTAGTTGTCATTCAAAATAGTATAATCACAAATGTTTATTTAGCAGTTAAGTCTAGTTCAATTTAACTTAAGTTAATTTCTCAATAGCTTGTTTGAAAAATAGTAGCTTTGGTGTACTTTAATAACCAAATAATGTTATTTACAGCATTGTATGTATAATGTCAAAAATCAAAAATAATCTTTCTGGTTATCTTTATTGAAAAAATATGTTTTTTATTGTAATTTTTTTCATTTATATTTAACTAAAAATCCAATCAAATAATTTTTCTCTTAGATACCTACGACAATCCCAACACACAACTTTGTCTTCAGTTTTCTTTAGTTGAAGACTGTATCTTTCAGTCTAAACCTCCTTCTAAAGCTATCATTTCTTACTACGTCCTGTCATATTAAACGTAGACTTTCCTTTGCTTTGTTTCTGTCTTTGTCTTGTAGGATTTTATTTCAGTATTAATTCAATAACATACATTATTATAATATTCTTTTTTTTACTGTATATTTTATGTACACTATTGAGGGGTTATGATAAAAAAGTTAACCGATATAAATTAGTTTTTAAAAATATTTATTGAAATATGTATAATTAATAATATAAAAAATTTAACAATATTTAAAATGGATATGGATTACGCGATTTTTTTATAGATAACTCAGTTTTATATAATGTTACTTAAAATATCCTTAAATTTTTTTTTAAGTCTCTAAAAGAATATTAAATGTAAATTATGATTTCGTTTTATAATCAAACGAAATGATTGTGTTATTATTATTTTTCAACTACACAAAATGAATGATTTACTAATTTATTATGAAAATTTAAACAATTTTTCAGTATGGGTTTTAATTATACTTTATTTAAGATATTTTGGAATTTTTTATTGATATTTTATCTTTTTATATTCTTAATATAATGTAGGGCTGTATTATCTAGTAAAACAATATGCATATAGAATAAACTCATACATTTCTGTAACAAATCGAATTATATTTGCTATATAGTTTTATAACCAAAATTACAAAATTTAAGATAACATATTAACAACAGCTTAAAATTTGAATAATACAAAATTAATTTTAATGAATTAAATTGCCGTAAAGGTACAAAAATTCATTACAAATATGCCAGCCTATTCACTTTTATAATAGAACTTTGCCATGTTATACGAATTAAAGTATAAGTACTGAATCTATACTTACATTTACTCGGTTAAAAATTTTTAAAAGCTCGAGTTATAAAATTAATAATTACTATGAATTTGAGTCGTGAATAGACTTCTACGAAACACATGTACAACAATATAAAAATTGCATTGATTTTTGAGCTGTTTAAGAAACTCTATATATAATTTTTTTTATAGCCCTGTAAAACAGCTTATACGTATTAGAGTTACTTAATAGCTTAATGCGACTACTGATTAAGTATTAAATTGTCACACAATTCCTCTCTTATTTAATGAGGAATAGTATAATATTTGCGGTAATACAATAGCTCTATAGACGTTATTTGTGCTTGATGCTGGCAAGTAATAGAGCAGATTGGTGTTTTTTGACATCTTTAACATTTAAATGTATAACACAGAAGTATTTTATAATTAAAACCAGGATTTACGCAATCCCCTTTTCGATCCGGACTTCGATGTTGGTGGTCCGAATGAATTTTCTCTGAGAAGCTCTAATAGTCCGGCAACGAGTACATCTCTTGCTGCCGGGTAGGGCTGTCCTGAAGAAGGGGAATGCCTATAAGAAAAAATAGTTTCCTTAAAATTTGACTAAAATGAAATTGGAAAAAAATGATTGTTTAAAAATTCTTACGTAATGTATCTCAGAGCGCTGTATTGTCTAATTCGTTATTAGACGCCCTGTTGTCGGTGATGCTGTCCAACTCGCACTCGTGTAGAGGAAATAGAGTCTTCATACTCTTTTTTTTAAATCGCATCTTGGCGTCATCCCCAACTTCAACAGTTTTCTGACACAGCAATAATGTTAGGCAGGATACGATGAGCATAACCACAGGTACGACGGATGCCACTAGAAACTCTTTGTAGGTGCGTTCTAAATCGAACCGGACTACAGCTAATTGTGGTATGTCGGTCGCGTAATAACACCGGAATCTTGCACGAGCATTGTGGTCCGAACCGTCTTTACCGTATCGCCGAATGAATGCTTCACATTCACCTCTTAATGTGTTTACACATCCCTGTAAATTGATGTGTAAGTGACTGTCCTTAGCAATGAGCAATTTGTGCTCCCTGGGTGCTACCGAATCGTCTGGCACTAATGGAGTGTCGCTGTAGGCGTTTAGGTTGTATAACATGGAAAAGTTCGCATAGTCAAAAAGCACTTTTTTATTCAGAAGAGACCCGTTGACACAATCCATCGCTAGCACTTCTTCAGGACCATGGGGCACAATATTCATGCATGAAGTCAATAATACTTGACCTTGTTCTTCTGTCCAAATCTCTTTCCTAAGGGAGATGGACGAGTCGGATGGAGGTACAGCATCATTGTCTGTATAGCCTGGTAGATGTGCAGCTGTCTCACACTGCGATAGAAATGTTCGATCACCACTTAATACTATGACATTTTTGTTTCTAGTTGGTATGTCTACACAGCGACGATCACAGTTATATGGCTTCAATATTCGACTGCATTCGCCTCGTACGCAATTATTTAGACCAGAAATAGCCATGCAATTAATTTTACCTCGATGCTGGTTGCACTTTAGAGGAGGTGATTCAGTATTGCGAAACTCGCATCGAAATGCATCTGTAATGTTGATGCATACACCATCCGTACAATTGAACGTTCCCGTCAACCATTTGCACTCATCCCGGATGCAAGTGTATTTTTTGGCGTTTTCTGGGTCGATGCCAAAACACGTTTTGTTGAAAACATCTGAACATTTTTGGAATAGTAGAGTCGAACCATTGTTCCTAATGTTCACATAAATTTGTGCACAGCCACCGCCGGGCTTGCTCAGACACCATTCGCTGCATGAACTCCAATCGCACTTTTGCGAAGTTACATTTCTAATTGTTGTGCAAATCACTGGATTTTCCGATATACCGGATTGAAACTCACGCATTGTGGGCATGTAAATAGCAACAGTCAGATAAACGATGGCCACACTGCTCAAAACGGCCGTCATCTGGCACACGCAAATCGTGCCACATATCCGAGTGTCTTGTGGCGGCACTACTAATTCTTCTACCGGTATCTGTTTCTTCTTACCCATGTTTGGAAGTATTGCACTTGGGGTGACCGTCAGTAACGGCGAGACCGCGTGTTTATGTGTTTGAGAATTTTGTTCGATATATTTTACGCCGATCAAACGCCTCAGACAGGCGCCTTGTTAACCCGCCGGTAACAATCAATAAATTCTAGACCACTGCCGCCACCGTCGTTGAGCAGATAACCGATATGAAATGGCGACGGCGCAAAAACGTAAAAGCCGTTTCTCAGTTATTCTTGTCATAAAACTTACCCTTATCCAATATTTATATACTTAAAACTATCGATGTTGTGTATTTAAAAGTTATGCGAATAATTTTTAACACTTTAAAACATTCATTTTTATGGTATTTAACTATGTTAACAAGACGAGTACAATTTCGATCGTGTAGTACATACAAATAAAAATTTAATTTGTGATAGAAAATTTTCTTTTTTACACGTTTAAAAATTAAAAGTTTTAATTTAATTAAAACCTGAGCTTTGTATTCATGTTTAACATTTTTTCGAAATTTTTTTAATTAGACGGTATACATATTAAATAAATTTTTAGATTTTCAATGTTCCTAGAATTATAATTCAATACCAAATATTTACCTAATTCATGTTCTAGTGATGTTAACACAGTGCACGTGTTGCCTGCTCTAGAATAAAGGTCAACGAGTCTTCACTGAGGCATTTGGATAGAACGACTGACTTGATGTACTTGCGTTCAGCGAATCGATACCATATTTTGTTTAAACGCCATCTATCAGAAAAGAGCTTTATTCGATTCAGCACATTTTTTTTAAATGAGATCGCATTAGATAATATTATTTAAAATATTATACCATAAATATTTCATATAACATGTTTGCGTTTTCGAATGTTTTTTTTTAATAGGAGACTAATTTTACTTATAACTATTATCGTTGGAATACAAAATAAATTTAATTTGCAAAATTATGACAGTCTAAATAAAACTATAGTAGTATATAGTAATTTTAAATTTTAGTACTTCGAAATTTTATTCTATTATATTGTTTATTTAATATTATCACTATAAATAAAAAGGTTTGTACTAGTAGGCTGTTTAAAGATTGAATAAAACATTAGCCAACTAAAATTGGCTTTCTAAATACAAAAATTATACATTGAGTTAATGTTTTTAGTATCTCGTGAAAGTTCACTTAGTTTAGATAAATATATTTATTACACTCATTTGAATATATACAATTATATAGGTTAACGATACCTGACAATAAAATCTACTTTTGCTTAAAAATAGTTTTACATTTTATTCATATATTATATATAACAAATATATTTAAATTGATGATTAATTTAAATAACTATGACACTTAGCTAGTAGAATACAGTGATAAATATAATGCAATTGTTACTTAATATAGATGTTTCTAAAATTATTTATATTGCTCCGTTGTGTACACTTTTATTTGACTTGAAAAATAATAAACTGCACTTGTCATTCTTATGTATATGCGAAATATTTTAATGCTTATCAGAGTTATTTGATTAGTAAACTTTGGAATGTGAAAGGAATGTGTCTAATTAAACGATTGTTTCTGTTGTTGATTTATACCTTACTATGCAAACTGTATTTATATATGAAAAGATATAAAGAAAATGTACTCTTGAACGTGAGATGTATTAGTTAGGTAAAAGTTTTGAAACGTGATGCTTGTGTTGTGGTGTAATGTATGAATACTGTTTTCGAAATTCGATTAGAATTTATCGTAAAACGGGATTAAAGTATCTATATAAATAGAGAAATTGAATCAAATTTTGGATTTCCTTTTATTTTTAAATTGTGGAGTTCAATTTTTTTATGAAGTGACTTTATTTTTTATTTTTTACTTTCTTTTAGATTTGCTTTGGTATCAAAATCAGAATTCATTTTATTGCATTGTTCATGGAAAACAATTTTGTATTCTTCAAGATCTTTTTTACTTAAATATATTAATATAATTCATATTTCAAAATATTATTGTTATTCGTGCAGACTTTTACTTTATTTCCCCAGGTACATCTCCATTCTCCCTGAAGTAATATTCCGTTAGATTGGTTTTCGTTTTTTTTTTTCAGTTGTTTTACATGCATTTTATATGCAGTTTTTATGTATACACCTTATCTGCACATTGAGAAAGTCTCAACTTAATCAGCTAGAATTCGTTAAACTTTTGTCCGTTTTGTATTTTATTTTAATTCTTGTTGTGCCATGAATCACAATTAGAAATGAATAAAGAATTCAACATCAATAAATTATGAGCAGAATGGATCAAATGAAGTCTAAATATTTCAAGTTACACGTTTATTTGAAAACCCACTTGATTTTACAAGTTTCTAATAAAGAAGAAAGAAGAGTTTAGATAATAGAAAGCCTAATGAAAAAAAACTTACTCATTTAAGTATTAGTTGTATGAGTAAATGAATTTTTCATGGAAATTTATGAGCAACTTTATTTTTAAAATGAAAAAGACGTTGACATTTTTGAAACTTTGAGTTCATCATGACTATTCATATTATGCAAATTATTATTTTTTTTATAAATCTACAGAAAAGAAAATGTTTCAAAAAAAGAGAGATTTTCCACCGGGTCGTAATTAAACAATTCGATAAGAGTTTTCTTGTATTTTAAGTAAATCTTTATTTTTCAAAGTGATCTTAAATTAAAAAGAAACGAAAAGTAATTATAAAAAACAAGACTCTTTTAACACCTAAAATGTAAAGTGTTGAATAGTTTTATAAACAATTTACATTTTTTTATCGTTGAAGTAAGTTTTATTTTAAATGAAATGAATAGAAAAAAATCATAAAATAATATAAACTGTATAGATATAAAAGAAAAATGTTATATTTGTATACATTTTTCCTTTTTTCTTTTAATAAAGTTGGTTCTATTAAATTTTCACTTTTTGTTTTATGAATGTGTACTTTTTGAAAACGATCGATATTTTATTATTATGGTGGAGCAAAATGTATTGAATTTATAAGTTGATATTTTCGTAAAATGTTGACATTTTGTCTAGAAGTAATCGATTTTGTAATTATTTTTTCAAAAAAATCTAAAAACTTTTAATTTTTGTAAAGAAAAAAAAAATATTTGATTTAAAAAACTATAATATTATATGGTTGTATAATTTTTTTTTTTGAGGATAAAAACCTTAACATAAATTTCTTAAAATGGAAACCCATATTTTTAATTTAGTAATATGATAGAAAAAAATTTACAAACAGTTTTGTTCTTATAAAATTTGATCTCATCAATTTATATATTATTGCACATTAAAGTTTAGAAATATAAGATTAATTTGCTAACGATATTTTATTGTTAAAAATAATAAAAGTCTTCATTTACATTTTGTTACATAATTTAGAGTTATTGACTAAGATATAATCAAACATATGGAAATTTTATTTTTAATAATTTTTATCTATAAATAATTGCATGTTCAACGGAACTTCAAACATTGTGGGTAATTGGCGTGGAGAATTTTTATTAATAATCATCATAAAAATATTTTTTAATAGATTATTTAAACCGGAGGTTTTAAGAAAACCAAATTTTTAAACAATCTTAAAACGGTTGGGTTTATGGCTTACATAATTTAGTGTTTATTGACAAAGATATTATTAAAGTATTGATTAAGTTGAATTCAAATATGTATAACATGCAGTCTAGACAAAAAACATATGCAGTTATATTATTGAATACAATTTGAAATAAATGAAACAAAGTGGAAGTATCTGATGATACTATATTATTTTTCGATTTACCCTTTTTTAAATTAATTAGAAATAAATTTTAATAAAACAAATTGTTATGCTTTGAAATTAGAATATTTTATTTAAACACATTAAATTTGTTTTCTTAAAACCTCCGGTTTAAATAATCTATTAAAAAATATTTTTATAATGGTTATTAATAAAAATTCTCCACGCCAATAACCCACAATGTTTGAAGTTCCGTTTAACATGTAATTATTTATAGATAATAATTATTAAAAATAAAATTTCCAAATGTTAGATAATATCTTAGTCAATAACTCTAAATTATGTAACAAAATGTAAATGAAGACTTGTATTATTTTTAACAATGAAATATCGTTACCAAATTAATCTCATATTTCTAAACTTTAATGTGCAATAATACATAAATTTATGGGATCAAATTGTATAAGAACAAAACTGTTTGTAATTTTTTTTCTATCATTTCATTAAATCTAAATCAAAATTTAAATTTTTCACTGAAATTAAAAATATCATGAAATTTTTATTTTAATATTGGTGGATATAATACACAGTACATTTTTATAACAATTTATTATGATATTATTTAAAACTAAACTCTTGAAATATCAATATTATGTTAACTTCTTTTACCAAATTTTCGCCATTTTTAAGAAGATTGATGACACCATACATGGTTTATATAGGAATTCCAGGAATATATCAGAACCTGTCTTTGCTTTTTTAAATTGCTGAATTAATGAGGATTAATTCTCAATCATTATGCTCATTGTTATTCTGTATTATTTTAAGTAATTTTCATGTTTGGTATTCCATGCTCATCAACCAAATGCATCAACCATGAAATAGATATTATCCGCTTTACATATTTTGTGTCATATACGTGTATATGTATAAATTTATGGATGTATATTCGAGCGTGTTAATTAATAAATAAAATCGCTTGTGTAGTTGAAAAAGTGATCAGTCATTGTTTAATTACCTTAATTTTTCAATATTGTTTTCTATTTCAATATTAAGTAGTTTTATTTAGCGTTATTGGTTCATCTTTTGGTTGTATATGAAGTTATACGGTTGGTCTTATCTGCACGTTTGTATTTTTTAATGTATATACTTTTTGAATTATAACCATTAGGGTGGCCCTCAAAAATCGAATGTCTTTTTTTTCTTTACGCTACCCCTTAATTTTTTTTTAATGGTCAAAAAAGTGAGCTGTGCAAAATTTGGGACCGATCCGTTAAGGTTAACCCGTGCCCCCGGGCCTATTAAGTTGAGTCGAAAAGTCAAATTTAATAGAAATAACTGATCTATGTCTCATAACTTTTTTTTCTCTTAACTTAGAATAATAAAAGTAAAACTCAAGTAAAGGAAATTTTACAAGAAATTCAAAAATAATAACTTCAATGTTGTTTTCTCAATAAATAGCCCACAAAAACACTACATACAGTAAAAAACATGTAAAAGTCTTAAAATACGTTATAACTGATTTTGTTGATTTTTAATTATTTATTTTCATTTTATTTTTTGGAAAACGCATTTTCGTTTAAAAAAAGAATCTAGAAGTTTAATTCTTTATGCCAAGTACTATAATTATATTAGATTTATTATTTTATAGACAGTTAATTAATGATTAATTACAAACTTAACAGTTTAATTTAATTGTTATTAACAATTTTTAATTAATTTTTTTTTAAATAATAATAACTTTAAAAAAAATATTTTAACAATAATTAAATTATATTATTATAATATATGTATATATATTATAATATATATATTTTGATAATGTACTTTTTTTACAATTAGGGAATTTTTCCGATAATTACTTACTATTTGTAAAACGTATTGTTTCTGTTCTTCATTTGTAGTTAATATATTAATGTAGTCTTAGATTAATTTAATACCACGCTAGGCGGTATCATTAATGACTCGTAATTTACTTATAGTATTTAAAGCATTTATGTAACTGTTGTTCGCACTCCAAAATGATGGATCAATTTTCAAAAAATCAGTGTTCAGATTAAATAGTTGTAAATTTGATGGTAACTTACTACCAGTTATTTCGTGGGAATAATTACCAATAAGATAAATATTAGTTCGTAATACTTTAAAAGACGCTAAAAGTATTGTACATTTGTGATTAAAACGTATCATTTAATTTATAATAATAAACAGGTAAAATATATTTAACATAATAAACAAATTGTCTGCTGCATTTATACGACACAAATTATGTCAGTTGTCGAAAATAACTCAAATATTCTTATCTTTAATAATAATATAATTGGTACTATCTTAAAGTAATTCAGTAAACCAAAATTGATATATTGATACGACAAAATGTAATAATACAATCAATTTTGTTAAATTTGTAATTAATCATTAATTAACTGTCCATAAAATAATAAATCTAATATAATTATCGTACTTGGCATAAAAAATTAAACTTCTAGATTCTTTTTTTAAACGAAAATGCGTTTTCCAAAAAATAAAATGAAAATAAATAATTAAAAATCAACAAAATCAGTTATAACGTATTTTAAGACTTTTACATGTTTTTTACTGTATGTAGTGTTTTTGTGGGCTATTTATTGAGAAAACAACATTGAAGTTATTATTTTTGAATTTCTTGTAAAATTTCCTTTACTTGAGTTTTACTTTTATTATTCTAAGTTAAGAGAAAAAAAAGTTATAAGACATAGATCAGTTATTTCTATTAAATTTGACTCTTCGACTCAACTTAATAGGCCCGGGGGCACGGGTTAACCTTAACGGATCGGTCCCAAATTTTGCACAGCTCATTTTTTTGACCATTAAAAAAAAATTAAGGGGTAGCATAAAGAAAAAAAAGACATTCGATTTTTGAGGGCCACCCTAATAACCATATATAGGCATATGAATTATATGAAAACGGTCTTGTTATATAAGAATTACTTCTTAAATAAGGCCTAAATTAGTTTGACATTTCTTTGAGTTTTTTTGTTTGCTCAAATATTTTCTTTAACGATTGAATGTTCCACAGCCACAAACAAAATAGGTATTATGTTCTCACAGTTTATTGTGAGTTGACAGTAGTCCAATTGCATGTAAGTTTTTATTCAAGCTTTGTAATTGTCTTTTCAACGCCACAACTTTTAAAAAGTGTAGCATTATCAATTTAGTAAAACGTAACCATTTTGATTGATTTACATATAATTGTAATATATACAAATAAAACTTTATGAAGTACTCAACTTATTTATTTACATACCAAAAAGAATAACTTTTAATTGAAAACTTTGAAGATAATTAGAATAATAATTGTAATTTAATCATTTACTAGAAATAAAATGAGTATGATGATTTAAATTATTTCTTCATTTAAACACAAGTTATTACTAAGAGACAAGAATATATTTAAGGAAGTTTAATTATGTATACATACTTGATACTGTACTGCATTACAGGCGCTACTGAATTTCGCGTTTGTTCTTTAGTAGTCTTTGCAAGTACTACAGAAGAATATGAATATTTTTATAGTTTTCCTTGGTAAGCACCAACACTAATAAAATTTATTTCAAAATACATTTTAGTAAAGTGGTTTTTTTGCTGAGTATTCTAAGAGATATTTAAATTTTTTCTGTGTTCGTTTAAGTTTAAACATGAACATTAAGCATTAAACCTTAAGAGCTTTATTATGTTCGTTTGAATGTTATTTTCTTATCAACATAATTTTCTTAGGTCTTGAAAAATAATATTGAAAATATGTTACTCTATATCTAATAGGAATGGTCAACTACACAAACGACTGTATAAATTGTTTACCGATTTAAATTAAAAAGTTTATTTTAATTAATAATGAATAAAAGAACGTTTCAAAGCTTTTAGTAAATATTTAATAATAACAGCTAAAAATACAGCTGTTCGATATACCATATTAATTTTGAGCTTAGTTTATTTTGCTATTGACTAAATGATCTTCATTATTAATAAATTAATGTACATTGATAAAATAACGCAACATATTATGTTCGCGTGTTTTTATAAATGTTTTTTAAGTATTGAATTACTACACGGCGTATTGGTTAGGCAATTTAGAAGCACGCGTGTGTATAATGAGTTAGGTCCGAATTTTTATGCAAAAAGTATGGGAAAATATGTGCATAAATAAGCATGTAAAATATAAAAAAGGGCAAAAAAACCATTTTTCATTTTACAACATTACACAAAATTTAACAAATGTGTATTTAATATTTTTATAAATGAAACTTTTAGACAATAATACAAAAGTAAGCAATTTTTAGTTATTTTTACTGAAGTATACAAAATATGACCCTTAATGGTTTATAAAGCGTTAAAAAATTGATATGCAAAAAATGAAAAAAAAATTAACAGGTCAATTTTTACAAACAATGAGAACAATAGAAACCCGTTTCCTTACTTACTGAACACCATACACATAGAATTTACACATTACGAAATGTCAACAATTTTAATCAAAATTATTCTGGGTAGGTTATTCAAGAATATACATTTGCGTAAAAATTTGGGCTTTAATAATCAGTTTAGCATCATTGGATCACATATTGTCTATAGAAATCTATCGTTTAAGACCCTAATAAGTTGTTCTGTGTACATTGCTAATGATAATTTTATACAAATTTGAAGTTATAACGTAATATCATTATATTTAAATTAAGCTGTCCAGTATACAAACAACAAAGACATTATACTAGAAATTACTGAATAATTTAGTTTTTTGTTTAACTGTCTGATAACTGACGGTATAAACCTCTAACTTGGAATTGTGGCATCGTAAAGAGGGCGTATTGGAGTGTTTACTGCGCGTTTTATTAATGCTCATTTAGGTTAAGTGTAGTTTGGACATAGAAATGTTAAAGTCTTTAATGAATGACATTTTACAGTAAGAGTGCGGTCAGTAAACGTTATACTTCACTGATATTTTAATAATCAAAGTTAAGTCAACTACAAGTTTTGAATTACCATCATAAGAAAAGTTTCAAGGATAATCTGTTTCAATCCGACGAAACCCACGAAAACAAACAGAATTGTTCGCTGCAGTTAATTTGTTATAAAATTGTGAACGGTATGGTTAGTTGTTCATTTACAACTCAATTAATCAGTTACCACCCGTAGTTTTTCTATATAATACGCGGTTTTCTGTTTAATAAGAAGCCTATATTACATCAAATACATTAAATCATAGAAAAAACTCTTAATAGAATTACACAGTAAATTTATGCTGTCGGACACCATAAATGTTACACTGTGATGATATAATCGCGTTGCCCGTAGAAACAGCAATAACACAATTGAATAATACATTCTTATTTGTTTATGTAGATTAATTCGACTATAATGTTCGTACATTTGTTGTGCACGTCTGTGTGTTAAGAGAAATCATTTTTATTTATAAATAAAAATCTGCGGGTACACGCCTATGTGCACCTATTAGAGTCTTCCCATTAGATACTTTTTACTTTCATATAATTTGATTTCCTAAGATTGAACGAAGTTCATCATTGGTTTTTTGAAGGCGCCCTAATAGAATTATCTGTGTCAAATACCCGTGGCGTTAACTTTTTTACTGCATTCTTTAACGCTTGTACACAGGTAGCGGATTGCAGTTTGCGTAATTGTAGGCCAGTCGAGGCGACTTCTATCGATTGACTGTAACGTGCTCATTACGACCTTCATTTCCGTACCTACGCGTGCATCCTTCCGCTTTTTCCGTCCATCGACCTAAAGTTCACGGTGCGTTTCCTCTACTCCGAGCCAGGCACACAAGGCGCATTAGGAGGAAGCAGACCGTCGACGGAAGGACTCCGCCAACGTGATTCTTATGTCGTTTCTTGAGGTCTATATTGTGCTCTATTTCGAGTGTTTGTAGGTGACAGCACTCGCAGTCACGTGGTGTTTAGACCGTAAATTACAAAACATCGCGTAACAACTTTGAACGGCCCGGAGCCCATTGAGTGACCGATTCTGTTCTAATGTATTCGGCGACCGTAAAATAACTATGTATACAAAAAAAAAAAAAAAAAAATTAGGTTCCAGCGTTTTATGTTTATTTTTAGAGAAATTCGGCTATGATGGTCGCGCCTGCTCGCAGACCGTCGTCCGGGTCCGCTAGACGGCGCCCGACCCCTTTCAGCCACCCCCGTGCTGCGCGATCTCGATCAATCCCCGTTCCCCGGTTGCCGTATCAGCCTAGCTCAGTAGCACGTTAACCACTACTGCAGTCGATTACCCGCGTGACGCTTACGCCGTCGTGATCGTGGATGTTTGTCGTCACTGTCGTACCGGTACGTTTGTTTCTAACCACCGTTTTTTTTTTAAGAATTTTTAACGTTGTGGTTCGTTTCTTCGGTCAAATTACTAATCTGTGTATTTTTTTACTAGTTTTGGTGGAATAGGCGTAGATCAAAAAAGAATTGGGGCAAATTCGTACTATGAAAATATATTTAACGGGTTTTTGAAATTTCAATTTTTTATAAACTGAGAATCATTCTATTTTTCATTGAAATAACAAAAACTGTTGAAGTACTTTATAGGACGTAACCTTTATCAAATTTACACAGCCGTCGGTCGGTCGCGGACATTTAATTTAATGGACACCCGGATTTACTAGAGTGGTGTTTGAAAATTCAATTAGTATCTCTGTAGAAAGGGACGACGACGAGTTTCTTTTTTATTTTACTTGATATTGATTTGAGACTAAAATAAATTTGACGAAACACTTTTGCAAATGGATTCTATTTTTATATTTTTCTTATTGACTACTTTCGACTTGTACCTATTAATTTTGCTTTCCAATACACAATTGTGTTGTTATTACCGTTTTAAATTTAATTTCAATTGTTTTGTTTTCGTTGGCTTCGTTTTACCTATTTCATAGTACATGCCAAATAAATTGTACTTGAACTTCGCCAAGGAGTTGTTTCTACCCAATTTTCGGTATGAACTGAATCGTATCAAGTACAACACGGCACATCCCTTAATCATTTTCGTGAACTACGTGTTCATACACGTGTAAATTAAATTTTACAATGCTTTGTTTTGAGTATTATTGATGACAAACGCGTAATAGGAGGTTCCTAATAAATTTTGGGTTTGAATCACATCAAATATTAATTATACCCTATTGAGCTCGAGGCCGAGGAAACGAACGCGACAATCTATTATATATATATGATCGTAGAAAATTGTGTTGACGGTGTTTTGTATTTTTAGGAGCTGCGGTAGAATAAGCGGTTCCGTAATGTATATTAACAAGATGGAATCAACTGAAAAAAGAAAATGTAATTTAGATTATATGTTTAGATAAAATTATGAAAAAAAAAGGTAATTAAATTACCAGGCGTGCTCAATACCCTCTGTGAATACTAAATACTGTGGACTCATTTTTACTCGGGAAACCTCTCGAGTGACTTCATAAAGTCATTATTAGTGCAATAAAAATAATATTAGTATGTCCTTGAACGATTGGTTGTCGGAAGTCGTAAAAGAATCTTCATTCTCCGCGACATCGAGAATTTGTTGATTGGTGACTGTCTTCGTTACTGTTCTGGAGCGACCGGAACCATTAGTTAAGATGAGCTGATGGATGACGAGCCGGTCGTCACTGATGAGGAGAAAAAAGAAGCGGAGAGAAAGAAATTGGTAGCTTTGCGTCAGAAGTTATTGTTCTACTTGACAGCGTTTTTCATTTTGTTGGCCGTATTCAGTTTATTTACTTTCTTATTTTTGGTGCCGTTCCTCATCGAGCCGGCCGTTTCTACTTTACTTATGGACTTTGATGAAATGCCGGCTGCGTGCGTGACCACTAATTCGACAATGCGAGAAGGTGCGTCAAATTGTTCCCTCCCCAGTGGTTGGGCATCTTGTCGTGAGGGATGCACTAAAGAAATATATCAATGCGCTCAGATATTTGTTGACTATTCGGTCAGGGGCGAACGAGCCAAGGCCATGCGTGCCAAGCAGCACCGGCGTTCAATAGTAAAATATCAGTCAATCGAACCCGAGCCTATTATTTGGACCTACTCCAATGCTCGAATATTTCCTAACGTCAAAGGCTGTGGGTACCCACCATCTCTAAACTGTACCGAGTTCCACGATCGGTATTTTAAAGTTGGTTCGAAATACCCATGTTACTATAGTCGGGAAGATCCGTCTGTTGTTATCACCGAACTGAACCTCGCCAAAAGCGTCAATCAGCTCATATACTCCGTCGTATTTCCTATCCCGTGCTTTGTCATATCCGTTGTGTATGTGGCTCTCGCTTACTTCTGCCTGTATGCTGACCAAAACCAAAATCCAAGACCGAAGCGACGGATGGTCCGACGAATGGTCGGAAGTTCCGGTGCTGCTGGCGGTAGTACTGGTGATGGTGGTACTGGTTCAGCTTCTCGGCTCAAAAGCGGCTCTGAGGGTACCCCGTTGACGGTTGACAACGGTGGAGAGCCGGTGACGAGCAACAGATCTTCTTCGCCGGGTAGTAACTCTTATCGAGACGATAATGCGTCAATATTTGGTGATAAGATACGTTCTATGATGGACGTAGATGACTTGTCCGGCGATTGTATTAGGCCGCTGAATCTGTCCGAACACACACTCAGACAATCAGACTACTCGAACGAGCCGTCCAGAGACTGGTCTGAGGATGCTATCAGTATGTGTGGTAGTCTCGAACAGTCAACTGCCAAAGCTCCGTTAGTTAATTCTACTGGGTAAAATAATAAATTATTAATTTCAATAACTCATATATTTAGAGACTTCTGTTAATATTTTTATTGGAGCATTAAAAGTAAACAATAGCTTTATTTAGATGAAATTTTAAAATATAAAAAATAATCATAATTTAAAATTTTCTTATTTCAACATCTGGAGTTTCAATTTTATAGGAACTTCAGTTAAACAATTTAGTAAATAATTTTAGTAGATTATAATGCTAATATAAATATTGTTTTTATACTAAATCCTTTAATTAGGGCAGAAGGATTTGAAAAATTATTTGAGGAAAATTTTCAGTTAATATAAATTTTGTGTATTCATTTTAAAATATGTCACTAAAAATTTGAAAAATTTACTTCTAATAGATCAGTGAATCCATTTTAATAATGTTTAAATGGATATAATTATTTCATAACTAAATGTGCACACAATTGTGTTTAGTTTAAAATGTAATTAAAATAATCATATTACTAGAAAAAAATATTTTAAAGTATAAACATTGAGTTAAATATCATAGTCCTTCTATAGTTATAACATTATTAGAACTATTAATATAAATATACAATATAATATTTTATTGTAAGAATAACAAAATAATAAAATTGTTATAACCTGCAACCCCAGGTAAAATGCTTCTTAGTGGCATTTTAAGCGAATAAAAACTTTTTTTTTTATTTTATCTAATAAATTTCAATGAAAATAAACAATGCAATAGAGATAAATAAAATGTTCAATTACAATACTGTTTGAATAGTTCGTTTACACAATAGCACAAACTTTATACTTAGAATGAATATGAAAATTGTCAAGTTTTTACAATGGTGCTTAACAATATACATTATTACATTGTATATTCATAGTTCAAAACTGACATTTTCATGTTGTGTCGTGGAGTGAAACGTGGTTGGAATTTTCATTTGAAATTGTATGAGGTTTTTAAAGAAATAATATTTGTGTTGTATTATCTGTATCGTGCCATCCCTAGAAGTCCAGGTGCAGACATTCCCGTAAAAGAGTTGCCGTGTTTAAAAATGATAAGCATTTATTCTCGTTAACTATTTTTTTTCTTTTGTAATTTATAATTTGAAGGTCAATAAAATTTTTTTATATTAACTAAAATAAAATTTATATTAATTTGTAATGAAATTATTGAGCTCTTTCAGTACAGATTCACATATGACAACTATGCATGTTTAAACATTTCATGTCGTGTTGACTTAACCGTTTTATTCTGTTTCACTAAACAAACATATCGAGTTTTGAATTTTTCAATAAAAAATATTTTGTTAAAGACAGTTTTATGATAAAATATAAAATATAATTTATTTTATCTTTTAGTGTAAATCAAATAAAATATCGAGCGTTTTACATTCTATTTTTACCTAGTTTCGTCTCGTACTCATTGTAATTTTTTTAACTTTTAAATTGTATTTGCTAGTAAGACAAACAAAATTAAAAATAAGGTACACTTCTTTTAGTAAAAGAAAAAAATGTATTAGATTAATGTAATTTTTGTACGGTTGAGCTATTCTTTTGTGTAGCATTTTGACGGGAAATGTCGACGTGATTAGAATTGTTTGCCGTTAATTTATAATTATTTATCGTTAGTTTTGATCCGGCATATAAAATCGGTCTTTTCAATATAAATTAGGTGTTCGAAAATAAAATTAAAACGCCCGGAAACGTTGGTAGTGTTAATTTTGAAAATGTAATTAATTATTCAACCATAGAAAACGTGTGGTTGTTTTGCAAGAAAGAGTTAAATATTTGTCAAAAGCTCCCCTTGTAAACTAAGTGAGCGTCATGCTTTTGTGTAGTGTATCCGGTTACGACAAATTACTTCCTAAGACGAGATGCTTTGTCATCTCTGGTGTACAATTACGGTTGTCATTAAAAATAAAATAATAACATTAAAGTAAATTGAAATTTGGTGAATCGCGTAGACGTGGTCTGATCAAAACGTAGATGGATATTTTCTTCTTTCAAGAAATAAGTCTGCAAAGTTCGTTGTTGTTTATGAATTATCATTTTAAACGGTGCGGTGAACAAACAATTAGTTTAACCGCAATATATAATCAAGTTGCATTCCAAAGTATTGCCATTATCATAATTACCTTTTAATAAAACTTCGTGTTATGATTAAATAACAGTAACGCGAGTGGCACAATTAGTATACTGCGTGTGTGTTTTTAATATTTAAAAAATTAATGAAATTCTTTTAGTTAAAATTTGTCGAGTTAAGTATTTTTTAAAGTTATTTCAAAGCGGTTTGACATTAAATCATTTGTGATATAGTTGTGAACTATTTTGTTTCTAAAGTTTTATGAATTGACAATGAGAGAATCTATGGAATGTTTTTAATAAAAGTTTAAACTCCAATAGACTTTGATTGTTTGCAAATTTGCAAAAATTTCAGCGAATCACATTAACTGTCTATTATTTTGTATTAAAAAATGATGACGTTAGTCTGCAATAATTTTAAATTTACATTAAACCAACTGGTCAGTATGAATATTTCGTTGACCACCGAACAATTTTAACGATTGATCTATTTAGTGAAGATACTTTTACAAGTACTCGGATCTTTGTGGTCGGGTCTTAAGGTATTCATTTCTGACAATTCCAATCGCGGTTTCAAACGGTTTTTTTTTTAACGCGCAGACTTTTTAGTGCTAGAAAATCGTTTTTATGGGAGTTGCAAACGCTCAGATTTTTGAGTGAATATCCTACTAAGGTTTTTTAAAGGATTTGCTACGAAAGTCACAGTGACCCGAAATGTTTCCGTTGTATTCATTTCGGGTCGTGTGTGACACAAATGTCTACTCTGTATGAGTCGTGTGTCACGCATCGCGAAGAAGCCTCCCGTACACGACATATGTGTCATACCATAACAATAATAACAGCAATACTAATAACATGTATTATGTAGATACATTACGTCGGAAGCAAGTCACGTTTGCGTTCGTGTGTGTCGGCCGAGTAATGAATTATTATATTGTGCACCGTTCATTGTATAGGTGGAAAATTTGAACAAGTGTATACGGCTATTGGAGACACCCTTTGGTTTTCTTTATGAGCAATCATCATTTGTGCCGTTACCCTTTCTGCGCGTACACACAGTCGGAACGCGTCTAGTATTCGATTTTATTACATTTTTTTTTACTTTTTATTACAACATTGTGACCTTTTGTTTTCGCCTGTTCGAGTTGCGACTCCAACAGACCCGTGTACATGCCAGTGAAATCGATTCGCCACTTGCCCCCTAGGCGCGGCCATCGCTACGCTGTAACCGCCGTCGTAGTTCGTTAGGTATTTCGTTCACATCCGTGTACGCGCTCATTAATGAAAGTCGAAACGCTATAAATCCAACAGGGACCAGAGTCAATCGACTCGCCTCCACCCTTTGCCTCTTTTTTTCACCACACCGGTTATAGTAATAATCAAAGTTGTAAAATAACACGACGCATAATGTTTTCTTTTGCCGCCACATTTTCGATCCGACCTAAATAGCGACCCGGGCCTTTTTTTTTGTACACGGCGACAATTAATGCGCTGTTAATAGCCTGTATCTATTATCGACGTGGTAAAAATGGGGTATTGTGACCCGGCCCTGCTTTGGATTTAATAACTTTTGTCGTTTCATCCCTCCTCGGTCAGAGAATCATTTTATAAATGGCAGTTTTTATCGAGCCAGAAGAATTTTATTAAAATTTGCTCGAGAGTAGTTTCATTTAATCAACTTGTCAGCTAAATTACATCATTTCCGTGACCATAGCTAATTCGTTTTGCCGTGATTTTCATCGGTAAGGGGGCGAGGGAAATGTAACCGCAGTTGAGTTTGTGCAAGTCCGGGTTGACTTTTACTTATTATCATTATGATCACCGTACACAAGTCCACAGGGAGGTAGCTGTTGTCGAGTCTGCAATGGTATTCTACTATTTACAATCAGTTAGTGGCAATGCAATGTACGCTGTTACTGAGTGCACAAAAATGTTTTTCGTGCTTAACCTGTACGTCACAACGTATATTTCAACAAAACGATCGAAATTGGATGTGTGTGAGTATGCGCGTTTGATAAACATAAAAGGCGGGGAGTGAACGGGGAAGACAAATGATGATTGCTGAAAATCATGCGTCGGTAATGGTTAAGTATAAGTGAATAGGCACGTGGCTTTTTTCTTTCTTCTTACAACATTTCAGGTCAGATGACGTTATTTGAAAATTATTCTCATTTAATGTAGTTTAGACATTAAAATTCATTGAAATTAGTTCAATGAATTTATATTATACTTTCCTATAAAAATATAATAAATTTTTTATTATAGAGAAAGTATTTAAAAATAAATATATTAAACCCAAGCTATTCATAGTATCTTTTATTAGTTGATTTGATTGTGTCATATTATTTCATTTTAGCTAGTAAAATAACTATCTGATAGTAATCAATAAAGTTTTATTTAGTTGTTCTTTTGAAGTATTTAAATGTAATTTATAAACCGTAGAGTTCAGTTAAAAATATTATCGATTCAATAGATGAAATTAGATTTTAAGGGTTTTATTGATAATATTGTAAACAATTTGTTAGTAGCAAAACAATGATCGGGTTATCTTTTTACTCGCACTGTTGAAAAACAGATCAATCACTATGGTTGGCGCGTAAAAAACTTTCGAGAAGCAATATATTTTTGCAATTTGTTTAAGGTATTTCGGTTGTCAAGTGACGTGTATTAACCGCTCGTTAAAAGATATTGCTTGTGTAATGTGAAACAAGGGTCTAAAAAGAACGTTGAAATAGATTTTAGAAAATGACTTTAGTTTTTTTTAGAGAGTAAAGAAAAATAAAATAAAACGGAACGAGATGTAAAGAGGTGATTATAAAAAAATGCGAATGAATGAAAAGACTACTTACTGAATGTAGCAACGAAGGAGGATTATTGAGATTTAATATTTTCTTGTTGGGTATAAAATTAAAATAATGGACGAGATGACATAAGTCTAATACGTGCATGTTTTATAATTTCGACTCTGTTGAACCTTAAGTTGCGAATAAAAAATATGTCCTCGCAACGAAATAATATTTTACCGAAATATTACATTGATTTTAATGTAATTGTTATTACAGCGGATTTTTTATTTCTGTTACAGAAACTTAATCAAGACGATGACGACTTCTATCTTGACGCCTCGTGGGCCGATGGCGGAAGTTTGAAAAGAAGTCTTCACCAAATGGGAAACATTTCCTGGAAGCCCAAATAATCCAAAGGGTTATTTTGTTCTTTATTTATTGTAAAATTACTTTTCAATACACTCTAAAATATTACACTTGAGTTATTAGTTTTTAATCGCTGTAATTGTTTATAATTTTATTTTCGATACTATTTCAAATGTAAGACAACATAACTACGGGGCCAGTAATTATGATGCGTCGTACGACGATGTTAGCTACTTGTGTCATAGCTCCAAATCATTATTAACATTTTTTAATAATCCATAGAGAAATGTCTATTAGGGGTTGTTGATGTGCGTATTACCTACTGTTTTTACGCTCTCCAAGAACGACACAGAATATCGGTAACAATCGTTCTCGATGCTCTTTCCTATTTGATTTATCTATTTCGTTTTTTCAATACCGTTTACTGTGTTCAGTTTTTTTATTTGTACACAAAATTATTGTTTTTTCTCCCGTGTTATTGGAGATGAAATTGTTGATTTGATTTTCACATTTATATTGTTGGACGAGCTTACACTGTAAACAGGAGATTTTCGTTTTACCGAAACATTCTGCTAATCCACAAGTTTAATACTATTCAACTTTGTACTTTTAAGTTTGTTATTCTGTTATTTAATATTCGACTCGCGTATTAAATAAACCAAAAGAGAATCGCAGAAAATTTCAAATTAGAATATAAAAATAAACAATTAAATAATGGTGATTTTTAAAATAGAACTGCATTAAATTAATATAACTTGTTTTATCCCGTTTGTGGGATCGGTTACTAATTAGAGCCATTAGCTCAAAGCTCTATAATTTTTAGGTCCGTTTTTATAGATACGCTGTCATGCTGTGACCCCTATAGACTTCCATTAAGTCTTTTGACGTTAGTACCTTAATTACAGATTAAGTAAAATATGTGTTCTTTTTGTATTTTTACAATAAATACACGAAATAAACATCTAATAATAGATCATGTTTTATTTAAATGTATCCTTCAACATTTACTGTGTATTTTTAGTGGCCATTCGTAAAAAGTATTTTTGAATTTTCATGATTCATTTATTTGAAGACATAAAATAATGTAATTGTTGAATACTTTTTGGAGAACACGTGTAAAATTGATACGGGTGACTTTTTTAACGCAGTAAATCCACTAAAAACTAGCCTAAGAGTTTACATATATTTTAAAATTAATTTTGAGATATACGATTGGAGTCGTTAAAACAATTGCTATTTTAGCCATTTAAATAATAAAGCGAGTGAGCTATTGTTTTTTCATCGGTATAATTCTAAAATAGAATACGGTTTTTTTTTTTTTTTTAAATCCATGTTACTTTTCAATGATCAAACACGGTTATTGTTGTTAATAGATAATCTTGAGCTTAGACTGCGCGAACTTGATGCTTTGGACGGCAAAAGGTTTGCTTTTTTTTTAAGTAAATACTCTTATTATTAATTATTGTATGAAATTAAATATCATTTTTTAAAAGACTGATAAGTGCTATTTGTTGTAGATTGTGACAATTTAAATAAGGTAGTCTTCTAAGATCTCAATTAACTATTATTATTTAAACAAATTCTAAGCCTGTTTTTTATCATATTACATTTATATAAATTTAACTATGTATAAATTATAAATATATTTTATCTCTATAAATCATTTTTCATAACGTTTAAATTATTAATATTTTTGAAATTAATAAATGTAGTTCAAACTTAAAATATGTTTATGGTAAAACTACAAATGCCGACCAGCTTTTATATTGTTTGTTTATCGCTGATTAGATAAATGTTTCGGTCCTCAAAGGACAGTAATATATTCACTTATTTGCTGTAAACTCGTGTTACTGTTGTATTTATATATAAATATAATATGTGTACAGTTTTCTTTGTGAAAATTATGACGTGAAACATTATTTTTGTAACCCGTAGCAAGACAAACTAGTTCAATATCTGATTAAATTTCGATTAGGATATTTTCTTATTGTGTGTTATCAATTTCTTTCATACTGCTGTGTTATGTTGAAATACTACATTTGGCAAACAATAAAAAATAAAAGCTTTTCAATAACCTTGGCTGTACAAATGCCTATATGAAAATTTATAGTTGCATTGTCTTGCCACGTGTTACCGATTATACTGTTTGTTGTCACAAAGAATAACTTGTGTCATCCTTTGATATTTGAGTAATGTTAATTTTATTTTATAGTTTAAGATAATACTCGGGCGATTTGTAAGAGCGTTTTATTTTTTATAACAACTTAAATCTTTCAATGTATTATGTGAAGTAACTAACTCGAAAGAGTATTTTTTATTATTTTCGTATTATTGTATTATAGTGTTCTTTTTTTATGAGTCTATTTTTTGCACTTTTATTGTTCACTTTTCTTAATAATTTTTTCATTTTAAATATGTTTCTTACTGTACTCGTAATGATTTCTGACAATTCTTGCTTATGTGTAATTCTTTGAGTGTACATTTAGTGCGCGTGTTCAGTCAGATTATCACGACGTTAAGTGCTATTATTATTAATAAATTATTGATTTTTAAGTAACATTGATAAAAACCATTGGCTTTATTAAAACGTGTGTTTTTATTATGTTTATTATTTGTTTGTATATAATTGATAAGCATCCATCTAAAGTACCTAATTTGGTATTACTCAAATGGCGTTTCCATTAAAATTTGATCATTTTAATGATAATGCGTTTAAATAATAGTTGATGACGTAATCAGATGAGTTTAATCATCTTACTGTAGAGGTCACATTTATGGAGATTTTTAGAAATATACATCATCTTTTTTTTTATTTTTACTTTTTAAAATGTATTAAACATTTTAGATAACGTCTTGAGATAGGCTTTAAATGTCCTGATTGTAAGAAATAAATGCTCCACAAGATATAATTGACGTGTTATTCAATAACTCTTTGAAATATTGTGTGCTTAGATCAATACGTTTAAACATCATGATACTAGTTTTTCTATTTAAAAAAAGATTTAATATTGTTATTTGTGATATTCTAGAATTTAGTTTGTATGGTAATATTATTATTATTTTTATTTTGAGACAACAATGGAAAGAAAGTTATGATTTCCAACAAAATAATCGCTTTACTTTTTTATTATCATTGTGGTGCTCTACAATCAAAAATTAATTAATAAATTAACTTATTTCCTATCAAAAGTTTTTGTTCATCAACAAATTTTTTTTGTGACAATAAATGTTACAAAGCTTAAAAGTATTGATTTTATTTTTGTATGTAACTTGAAATTATGTTGATACTTTGATATGCTGTCCATTTTTGTGGTTTATAAGTAAAAAAATATTAATTTTACTTTGTAAATTTGAAAGAAAAGAATAAGTTAAAATAAAAAAAAGTTGTCAGATGAAATATATATATATATATAGACCAGTGTCAAGTGATATTTAGTAGTTGCAAAAGTTGTCTTGTCGGTAGAATTCACTTCTTATTATTTTTTCACCAGTTTGAAAGTATAGTAATTATTATTTATAAATGGATTAACGGTAAAACGATTCACTATTCTTAACTTATTGCTGTATTCAATTTTGAATGATGAGGTACATACAATTTCTGTTGCCATAGGAAATATTTTAAGAAATTCAAAAAATATAATTGGTGTTTAATAAATAACAAGTGTGTTTATTTTTGATACATTTGAGTACATAATTTTACTAAGCTGAACTAATGAAAAAATGATAATTTTGTGAATACAATCTTTTCAATTTATATTCGTGTAAAGCCGTGTAAATGTATATATTATAGATTATGTTTATGTAATACATATACATATTATGTATATATATATATATATACATATATAATTTAATGTAAAACCTCTTGTAATATAATTGTATTCTTAGTGACATTCACAGAATCGATAATAACTATTATGATGTGAATAATTACAAGTTATCGGCTCAAGTCAAATCTCCAATTGTTACTTATGACATGATTATCGGCAGCCGTGTCGTAATAACTACAGCGGTAGCACGATCCGTATGCTTGTCGTACACTTTCAATCATCGGCCGTATGTGATAAACTATTCAGCACATAATCATCGGTGTGCCACGCGGCAGTAGTTAATATTTATGAATCCCTGGTATTATTTTTTGATAATTTAGCGATTTTCTTGTCTAATCTAACGTGCTGTAATGATTGTGGTGTCCGTCTTAAACGGAACATTTTGCTCCTGAATTCCTGGTACCCTTTTATCGACTTTATCGTGTTTTGTTTAATTTTTTGGTGATATATGCTCACATGAACATCTGATGATTAAGTTGCCTAGTCAAAGTGCCTAATGTATTCAGTCGTCTCGTTATCTTCCCAGTATGAGATTTTTAACTTAACTTAATGTTAAATCGAACTTTATTTGAATCTCCATTAGGCGATGGGAAAAATGGCTTTGTCTTTGCCTCTTTATATTTTAAAAAAAACAGTTGAGCCAAGTAATTTAAGAAATTATTTCTAATAAAAGATTTTCAATTAAATCACCTCCTTATCTGCTTTGCCTAAAATTCCCATTTAATTAATACACAGTTACGATGGACTTATTTTTTTTTTTTGTCAAGGCTTGCGGTCGAATGACCTGCTTAATGATACACTATTATAACTCTTTAAAAGTATTGGTAATATGTGTTTGTTGTAACTTATTTTATCTGTTTTATATTAATGTTGATGTTATCTATAGCGAGTGATGTTTTTACAATAAACCCCTTTTTTTTGGGTATACACTGATTACAAGCCTACCCTTTAATGTAAGCAGTACAATTTTTCCATTGTATTAGCTAATTTAAAAACATGTTATTGGTTATACGTCATATACCTTTATTTATTCGATTATGTGTTTGTTATTTAAATAAATAACTGTCGATTATCGTAAATAACATAGTATCATTTAATTTCGATAAATATACAGGGTGATTTTTTTATCATAACCCACTCAATTACTTACAGAATAATAATAATTTAAACATTTTTTTTTTTCATTATTTTTAGTTACACATTATTCTTGAATTTTTAACTATGTAATACTTTTTAAGTTCATCCCTTATGCCTTGGAAGGGGGTCAACTTTGTTTTTTTAAATGGTAACACATATTTTTAATTTAATAAAATGTTTGAGTTTTTAATTTAATAGTAAATGGCATTTGAATTTTTAATATAACTTAATTCGTTTATTAGATATAATCATTTAAAGTTTCAAATTTTTGAATTAATATACAGGTATAATACACAAGGGATTACAAATACAGGTAGCTAATTGGTTTTTTATAACATCGATATTAGCAGGTACACAGCATTGTTATTATCAATTGTAGTAAGGCACATTGTTATGAGTTTATAAATACACTAACTGACAATACAGAAAGTATATCTATTGATAATCATAATTGATAATAAACAATCCGTGACTGAGACAGCAATGTCATAAAAATCCAATTAGCTACCTGTATTTACAATCCCATGTGTATTATACATGTATATTAACTCAAAATTTTGAAACTTTAAATGTTTATATCTAATAAGCTAATAAAATTATATTAAAAATTCAAATGCCATTTACTATTAAATTAAAAACTCAAACATTTTATTAAATTAAAAATATGTGTTACCATTTAAAAAAACAAAGTTTACCCCCCTCCAAGGCATAAGGGATGAACTTAAAAAGTATTACATAGTTAAAAATTCAAGAATAATGTGTAACTAAAGATAATAAAAAAAAAAAATGTTTAAATTATTATTATTCTGTAAGTAATTGAGTGGGTTATGATAAAAAAATCACCCTGTATATCAATATATTATAAGCAAACATACTACATATTTCTATACTTATTTATGCAAATATTTGCTAAATAAATAAATTATCAAGTTTTGAATAAGTGAAAGTTTTCATGAGATACCTTATAGCAACTTGAATTATATTATAGAATAAAAAAAGCTAAAAATGATTTAATACTACAATAATATATTATTAAAACAATTAATGAAAAGGTTAGACTCTTAGTAGACGGAAAATTATAAATTTAGATATAGTTATTGCTAAACACTTGTTGATTGATACTTATTATTTTGGTCCATACTAAGGTATTAAGAACTACAAATTTTGTTATTTAGAAAAAAATCTTTTTTAAGATTCTTAGCAAAACTTTCACAAATTGCAATAGCTCGGAAAATCTTAATTTTATTACTATTTTTATCTTTTGTAAACTCCGGTGGTTACAATAAATTAGATTTTTCTAGTACCCTTAAAATTTTACCAAATAGCAGACTGAAAATCATATTACCACGTATTTTATAATAATTATATTTTCTACATTTAAATTCCAACAGCATCAAACTAACTTAAATAGATTTAAAAGTCTACAAATTCTGTTTCTTTTCGATTAATACCATACTGAAAAAATTCAATATTTGGTTTTAACGGTGCTTCCATTTTTTGATTGATTATTAGTAACCAATTTATTGGTCTAAACCAAGGATGTTTTTTTATATCCAAGATTCCGTTTTTTAAATTTCCATAACGTTTACTAAGATCTACCTGAAAATTAAATGAAATACAAATAATAATTAAAAAATTAGTTTATGTTTTTTTATTTGACCGAATCATTTTGTTTTTCAATTTTTGTTAAATAATTATTTTTAAAATCACTTATACAAATGTCAGTAAGTTTTAATTACGAATTATTTTTACATAAGTTCATTAGGGTTTATTTTTTTTAAAACGTCCAAGAAATTGAGCGCGTCAAGTTTTAAAATAGTTCTTTATTTTTTATTAACTACTATTTATATAATAGTATACATTAATGTGATATACTAAATATTCAAAATATACACTAAAGATAACATTACGAATTATTTATGTAGTAAACCATTATTTTACATGGTTGTTACTAATATTTAATGAAAATTACTACTTAAATATAGATTTATTTTACTATATTTTACCATATATCTATTTTACTATATATCTACACTATTTTAGTATCTTTCACATAATTTTAGATATTACATAAATTAATATCTTAATGGAACTATTTTCAAATGTAGTTTTTTCTCAGTAACACTATTCAAAAATTGAATAATTTTGTCAAGCGTTTTAAACATTTAACTATAAGTTTTAAATATTATAGTAAATATTCAGAGTTCAAGTAACGTTGTATGCCGGAGGTTTTAGTAGTTTATTACAAAAATGACAGTAATCGATTGTATTTATCTGTGTAGTTAAGAGAAAATGTTTAAACAGTTGTATAGCAAATTACTCATCTACCATATTTTACAACTAAATATTTGAATGCACAAATTTCGAAAACACGAAAACTTTGCTTACAAATGTGTTGTTTGAGAAACAACGCGCTGTTTATTAGGAAAAGCGACATTTTATAAGTTATAAATATCTTATAAGTTATTTATTGTTTAATCTCAACAATATGTTATAAAGATAAATATGCACAGAAATTGATCGATGGAAATATTTTTTTTGTAAAACATTAATTTTTATTTATTAATTAAAGTTAAATTAAATTCTTTTAACTATACTTGTATTGTATTTTTTTTTAAATTAATTATCATCTCATATAACATTGAGTTTCTTACTGATAAATAAATAAATTATAAAATACCATTAGTCAAAATTTGTTTAAAATATATGCGCAAACGTCGCTAAAAATCCAAGGGCTTCTTACAAGATATTTTTGTGGGGTTCTTAATAAGTTAAAAAAAGGGAGGCTGTTTAAAAGAATGAATTAATTTTTTAGTTTGATTCAGGGGGTAGATAAAGCAATTTTATTTCGTTTAACGTTTAAATATATTGTAACGATATATTTTTATTGAGTTTAATGTTATTCAATTTTTTTTCATTTAACACTAAAGGGTCTCGTAACATAATTCTCCACTATAAGGTATTTAAATAAGAGGCAAACGGCTACTTTTTTCTTACATACATTTTATTTTAAATATAACGTTTGATTATATTCAAGTTTCAATTATTCTACGTTGTAAAAATCATGTTTAAACAACATTTTAAGGTTATTGATATCGCATATTTTAGGGTATTTGGGTGTTTTTGACAATCATTTTCTTTTTATCGTTATTTATAAAATTTTCCTGTCCTGATTTAATATGAAAACATATACCGAACTCTAAAGATTAGAAAAAAATTAGTTTAATATTCCTCTATAATTAATAATAATTGTAAATTTTATTACTTTTTATGCTTAAAAAATGATAAAAATAATTGTTTTTTTTTTAAATTATAAATATGTACGTATTATATTGTAGAATACATGTCGTTATGCGGCACAGTGACAACTACTCAGTTGTCGCCTTAGACCTGATGTTTAACTGCGCTGTTGCTTTTGGTTCTTAGATAAGAACTTTAACCTTATAGTAACGCATACTTTCAGTGGAAAAATGGCGACGTTTGTATTTTTATGAATCTTCGAATGAGTATACGATTAAAAAAATTGTTAAATATTCGAATAACTATATAAATATAATTAAGCTATATAATTATTTAATAAAATACTTAAATAAGTATTCTATATTTTTAAATAATATTAATTTTACGCTGGAATTGTTAGTTAATAAAAATTGAATAATTTTTTGACGTAGGAAGTATTTCATAAATTAGTCATATTAAAAAAATAAATTATATTAATATTTATCAAGTATATTAAAATTTTTCTGTATTCCATTCATATATTTCAACTAAGTTTGAAATATTCCTACTTAGAATAATTTTTATTTAATAATACGCCTGGCTTTAGTAGTTCTTCTTTTTTCAACACCTTTTTATAAATAAATCAATAATTATTAATTAATAAAAAAAAGAAAATTCTACCAATTATAATTAATAGAATAAAATTAAGGAAATCGATTCAATAATTCTAGCGATAATATAATAAGAAAATGACCAGGACATTTGCCCAAGGCTTTGCATTTTTCGGCACCTTGCAAAATGGAAAAACTTACAATTTTACTAAAAACCAATAAAATTCCAATATTTAATTAATGACGAAACTAATATAAATTACTGAAATGAGATTCCTTGTGTGGAAATGAGAACCTAATGCAGCGTATACTTTGAACACTTCTTAAACTAGATCTGCAAATTATACAGACAAGAAAAAGGTGTGTGAATTTATATATTTTTTACATATTATTAATATGAAAGTAAAAAATAAACTCTGGCTTATGTAAAGCATGCTTCGAGTACACATAAAATAGATATTATTTTAACTATGCATAGCTTACTTCTAACATTCTCTGAAGAAGGCTTTTTAACTGTGGACTGAAGTTATTATCCAATCGAAAATTTATATTCAAAGCGTTTTCAAATACTTCTCGTACATCAGATCCTTCAAATGGAGTTCGTCCGACATTTAGTTCATAAATCAAAACACCTAAACTCCAAAAGTCTACAGACTGGCCGTAACCCTTAAAGGTAATTATTTCCGGGGCCATATATTCTGGAGTTCCACAAAACGTATAAGTTCTGCCTCGCCCAATCATTTTAACCATTCCAAAATCGGCCAATCGCAAATAACCATTAGCGTCAATGAAAAGATTTTCAGGTTTTAAATCTCTATGCACAAAACCCGTTGCATGCAAAAACTCTAAAGCTAACACTACCTATAACCAAAAACAGTTCTAAAATAATTAAGGTTTAACAATTTTTAATACATTTAAAATAATGTATTCTATTTATAACATAATAAAGTTTAAATTTCACGAAAAATAGAATTCAAGTTTTATACTATTGAAAGTGATTAGGAAAATAATAAATAATCAGTCATTTGAGAAGCACAAAGTCACAAATATCAATTTATCGAAAAAAAAAATTTAAAAACTTAATGGGTTGTCTTTTTTGAGCTGTGAAAAATGATACATTTTTTTACATTATATTAAATCTAAATTATTCTAATACAAAAATATCAACTACATATTTTTTATTGGATGTTATTATATATTAATAAAGAAGGAATGAAAATATTATTTTTACCAACAGAATAATTTTTTTTAGAGTATGGCCTTTATTGTAGTAACATCATACATTGGAATACTACCGTCTAAAATATGAGAACATTGAAAAGTAGGGGAGCGTTAAAGTTAATCAAAAATAAGAATTTTCACGGATAGACAATAAAAAACGCATACCATCACAAAACTAATACCTTCTTAGCGTCACCTTGAAGCTAAAAATTAAAATATAATTTTAATGTAGTGTAACAACTAAAATTTTTTTGTATGTCACAGTTTGCAATTTTTTAAACTTAACTGGCTATAAATGTACTAAAATATGATTACTAGATACGTTGTTTACGTTACACTGCTCTTAATGAATATAAGCCCCGACCCCATTTCTCAATCATTAATGTTCATTATTTATAGCTAGATAAAAAAATAATTTATTTTTTCTTAAACAAATTTACAAACATACTTTACAGAATGAATCTATAAATATTTAAACTATAAGGTCATTGAGATTATTAAACAAAAGTAAACAATATTTCTTTGACTTTTTACTATATATACCAATATTTTACTTAATTTTTTCAATATTAAGTTAACACAATAAAAATTAATTGATACTTTGTACTATTTGATCATAGTATCAAAATCTATTTAGTATTTTATGAAAAAATTAGAAAAATTGCAGAATGCATTGGCAAATTTATTTTGGATTGTTTTTTTGTGTTGTTTATTCGTCATGTAATCCAGTGTTTATTACATCAGTAAATACAAAATGTTGATTTTTATAATAGCAAATAAAATTTAATAAGAATAATAGTTTATAATTACTATTATTATATATTTTTTATAAATTTTATTTTTGTATGTTAGTATCAAAACGCAATTAGAATTATTGAAAATAATCAAAGAATGATACATAAACGAAGAATGGAGCAAGAAAAAATTAGAAAAATTGAAAGGGTAACGTTTTAATGCTGAAGTAATTGTATATTTTAATCATTAATAATCATAGTACTTAACATATAAGTCAATTAAATTTAAATTAGTCGAACATTTATAAAATAATAATATTAGTGTAAAATTTATAGATAAAATAACATATGATTTTTAAAAGATTCATTTTTTTAATTGAAAGATTAATTTTATAAATGATTGAAGAAAAGACGTTTTTAAAACGTTTATTACAAGTTATATAAAATTTTAATGTTGTAGATAATATTTTTAGTAATTTAAGGATATTATATTTTATTATCAGGTTAGAGAACAGTTATTGATGACAAAATATGAAACTTCTAATATTCAAGAAATAAATAACCTTGAGGTAATTGTTTTAAATTAAATTTTACAACAAAACATAATAATTTGATAAAGTATAATTATTTAAAATATCATCAATGAAACATGTATTTTTTTTAATTAAAAATGTGATGGTAGACTGAGTCTAGTTGACACACTACATACATTGTTTGCTCTCGTGTGAACACTGGGATAATGATCCTCTTAGTTTTTAGTTATTATTTTTATCATTTGAAAAAAAGTTATACATTATTGATATAATTTTTTATATTCTTTTTAATAATAATAAATTAGTTGCTTATTGTGTAAATAACTCCTTCACATTCAAATTTAATATAAAATGTGCTAGACATATCTAGACGGGATAAAGGTCAAAATCATTTAATGTGAAAATAAATTTGTTGCAATGATACTGTTATACTTCAATTAGTTGGGGAAGTGAAAATCTATCTTACATATACAGAGTGATCAGCTTATCATAAACTACTCGATTACTCACAAAATAAATATAATATTAAAAAAAAATTTTTTTTTTTTTAGTCACATATATTTCTTGATTCATTAGCTAATAATGACTTGTTAGAATCATCCATTATAACTTAATAGGGTGTCAACTTTATTTTTTTAAATATCAACATACATATGTAACTAGCTCATAAAATAGAAAATAATATAATAATAATAATAATAATAATAATAATTATAATAATAATAATAATAATAATAATAATATCAAATGACTAGTCTGTAACAACTTTTGGAAGTTATTCTCATTTTTGTACGACCGGGAAATGTCTTGTGATAAAAATACCAGCACCCACTCTTCACCACCAGTCATTACTTTAAATTGTTAATAACTTCTGAAACACTGGTCGTTGGAAGTTGTTATCGACCATTTATTTTTTTAATTAGATAATTATCTATTTTATAATTTAATTAAATAATCATGTTGCTATTTAAAAAAATAAAGTTGACATTCCTTTAAATTATAAGGGATGATTCTAGAAAGTCATTATTAACTGATAAATCATTAAATATATGTAACTAAAAGAAATTAAAAGCGTGATAAATTATAATTAATCTAAAGTTAATAATAATATTATTCAATTGGTATGATACGTCTATAAAATTAAAACAGTTTTATTGGTAGTTCTGATACGTTACAATTTCTCATGATTATTTTAATTAAAATACTTTTTCCCGTATATATACAGGTAAAATTAGGGTAAGGCAGAGTAAGATGACGAGTTTAACACTTTATAATTTTTTTCTTTACTTCGGGAATAAACTTAAAAACTGAAATTTGCGCGTGAACTTTTTTAATGTCTTGCATAATACAATGAATTTGTTTGATTATCTCTTTTATCTTCAACAACAATGGGATAAGATGTCGAAAATGATTGTAAAACATTTGTCAACTTACCCCACCTAACTTTCAATTAACCATGAACAGATTTTTGTAGTTTTTAAAGCTAAGTATTATTATTATTTTTAAATGTGTTTTTAAATTTAACTATGTTGTTTTATTATTTTCAAGCAGACATTTATTAAGGGCTTATCGTTAACTCAGTATTAGCCAGTATTCTAATGTAGCATAACTACCAAATGTTAAAGTTTTACAGGTCTGGATACTGGTTTAGTACTCAGATAAGTTCTACTCCAATATGAGTAAAACAGCTGTCAGTACGTGTTGTCAGTCTGACATTACGTAGACAATATTAGTACGGACAGTACAGAGATCGGAGTTTATATTGGCATTTCATTGAAATATCTATTTAAAAAAGTGTATTTAACTATTTTTTTTTTTTATCAATTATCAAGTTATACGAGATACCTATTGATATAAAGTCAATGATTAAGCAAATTTTCCCAGACTCAACAATGATTTATTCCATAGAATATGTCTTAAATATTTTGGGAAAAGTTCAAGACAAGAACACAACAGAAATAATAAGAAAATTAAAAAAATTCAATGGTAATGAAGAAGATTTAAATTGATTTACATATAATCAAGAAATGACAATAGTTCTTTCCACTATAACATGTTAATTAGGGTGATTCTTAGATTAAATTTTTTTTTAGAAAAAATTCATTCAATAAATTCCTTAGAATTGTTCCATTTGGTTAAAAAAATAATTTGAACAAAATTGAATGTCATTTACACATACACAAGAGGTTTGGATATTTTACTGTAAAGGCGGTTTTTCGATTTTTGTCACTTATGTTATAAACTATGTTATTTACAGAAAAACTTGTAAAACTAAATGTTTGCCGTAAAATATATAATAAGCAAAAAGTAGACATAAATATAAAAAAAGCAATATATTTTTATATTAACCGTTGATATCGATTTTATTCTTTCAAATTTAACTCCTAAAATATATCTCAAATAATTAATGAATTAAACTAAAATATTTATATTGTAAAAAAAATTAATTTATATTTGTTTAATTTTGTGAAAAAAAATAAATGTAATAAATATGTAATAGATTACATCATTAGTGAAAGTCATTAAATGTTATGTGAATTTATCAAGAAGGTATCACTGGATTTGTAAATTCAAATAAATGTCATTGCAAAAAGAGTTTTTAAATAATAATACATGTATAATACAGTGCGATTTGTATCTTATTGTTTAAAAAAAAATGAAGTTGTTACCCTTTTAAAAGATAATTTATAGATCTATTTATATTTTATATTTTATTTTTATATTTTGCTCGTCAAATAAATAATACTAAACAAAACAAAAGAGTCAAAATCATTATTATTTAAAAAGACAATTAGTAGTTAACGATAAACTAATCACTCTGTATGCAACCAAAAAATACACAGAAAACTCTTGTTGCAATGACATTCATTTGAATTTACAAATTCAGTGATACCTTTTGATAAATATCACATAATATCTAATAAATTCACTAACTAATCTATTACATATTTGTTTAGATACACTCCCTCCCTATTTGTGTTTTTTTTTCATAAAATTGTATTTTTTTCATCAATATAAATATTTTAGTTAAATCAATTAATTTCTTTTGATATATTTTAGAACTTAAATTTGAAAACTAAATATCAATCTATAATTTTTTTTTACAACTATGTACAAATATTTTATTAACATACACAAAATATATATTCAAATGTTCTGTTTATTGCAGATTTAAAGAATTTAGTGTTTTTAATGCAATCATAAAAAAATAATTTTTATTGTTATATTTTATTATATTTCAAAAAATTAACTTTTTTAGAAAATGAATATGTTAGCCTTAGAAATTTTTTACAAATAATGATGGATGAATATTTTGAAATACCAGAACAACTGGTGGATATATTTAACGACTTCCATTGTGGATTTCAATTAAGAGATACGTTAAAAACTGGATTTATCTCAATAAATCATTTTTCAAGTGTTATAAAAGATGTTCTCAAAAATAATGATATTATAGAAGATATATTAAAACCTTTTGATAGTGTAAAATATGTGGATTATGAAGGTGTATATCTAATTAATAGAACATTTTTACTAAAACTAACAATATTTTATTTTATTTCAGCATGGTTATTAAGAAAAAGAGAAAGTTTATATAATATGAGATATAGTGCACACATTATGCTTATGAAAGCTTTTTATTTGATAGTTATGTTAAATAATAAATAATTATTATTTAAAATTAGTTTTTATATTTATTTACATAAATGCTGTTGATTTAAATACACAATAAAAGAAATATTTTTTATTTGTATTTAAGAATAAAGTTTAAATAGAAAACGAAAACGAAAAAAATACCTTGTACTCTCGAAATTCAATATAGTGTCACCATAATATAGTAAAGATGTATATATTAAAACCTAATAGTTATTTTCTGCACTATCATAATAAGGTTTAATACAAATTGATTTAGTTAAAGTACATTGCAAGCACATTTCATTAAGCTTTCTTAACCAGTTAATTTTTTAAATAATATTAGACTTTTTGTGACAAAATTTGTTCATTACGATGACGAATCATCTTCATTTTTTAGTTTTTTAAACTGTTAAAAATATTTATCAAATTGGTATTTTTAAAAATAACAAAAATTTTTTATCTCAAAAAAAAAAAATAAATAAATAAATAAATAACTGCTAAATAATCAAGAAATAAATTCTACCAATAAAACGAAAAAAATCTTCAAAATTATAATTGTTTTAGTAGAAAAAAACGCAGCACAGTGGGGACGTGGTATAGTTGGGTCCAGTATAGATGATATCTGACAGTGTTAAAATCACAATCATAAAAAACGCTTTGATGCAAATCTGTAGATAGTCTTTAATTTTAAGAAATTGGTTGATTATTCTAAAAGTAAAATTAACTCCTATTTCTATTATTATTCCTAATTAGTAGTTTATTTATAAGTATAATTTATGAATAAATATCTATTAAAGCAATTCAACGATTTTTTGAAAGTTTATAATAAAAAGAAAGTTGAATTTGTAACCATAACTTAAAGTTCAACTTCAAGTTTGAAATTTACATTATTAAATAGACAAATTTATTAGAATACAAAAATAGTATTGTTAAGATTAATATGCAGTCAGGAAATTGTATAATTAATCTTTACTGTAAATTTATCAGAAAAGCACTATATTTTTTTTGCATTATTTTATAATAAATCATTTAAATAAAAACCATTGTAATCATTTCTAAGTAATTTTTGGCGATTAAAAATATTCTACAATTGAAATATTCAGAACATAGTTAATTTGATTTACTAACTAAAAATACCAATCAAAATATTGTTAAAACAATTTACACAATTGAGTGTATTAGTTATGATTATTTGATGTATCGTTAAAAAAAGTTGTTCAGTGAGAGCTGAGAAAATAAATGAGAGCCATAAAAAAAATCACATAGTACAAAAACTTTAATGTGAATAAGAAATTTCTTCAAACGAGGGGGATTAAAATTATGATATTTATTAAAGATATTAAATTTACATGATATAAAAATCATATGATTTAAAAAATTTTTTCTAACTCAAAAACTTTTGTAAGGTATTTTAAAATAAATTATAATACAAAATCGAACATTCTAACACAAAAATAGCATACGGTAGTTATTTTTACCATGAAGACAGAATAAAGTCCGAAATTCTTTTTTTCCATAATAAAGTACATTACATTAGCTTTAATTTAAGGTGTATATGTAAAAGTGTCAGACTTTCCGGAACACTTTCAAAAGTTAAGTTAAAAATGTTAACTTTTTGTGAAAAAGTTGTCATTTTAAATCTCCCCCTGTGGGTAAGTATAAGGTCAGATTTGAAAAAAAAAATATACCAAATGATAGGTAAAGACATCAAGCATCTATAAAAAAAATTATATTGATTTGTTCATTTTTGAAAAAGTAGTGGTTAAAGTTTTAAGTAAAAAAAATTGAAAAAATTTCGAAAATTAGCGATTTTTGAATTTGTAATTTTTTTGGAGGTTTCCCCCATTAACGGGGAACGAGGAAATTTTTTTCAATTTTTGAGGGTAATGTCTTCGACTAGATACGATTTGTGATCCTTTGACGTATCATTGAAAGAAATCGGTTCGGTGAGAGCTGAGAAAAAGTGGTAAGACACATAAAAAATAAGAAAATAGAGAGTACAAAATATCATTCAGAGAATAAAGAATTTGAAATAGAGGACGACAAAGAAAAGAAATTAAATGCATATTTTTAATTATTAAAATTATATTGTTTACAACTTTTTATTAACTTTCAAATACAATTGATTGGGACAAAGTTCCTCATGGAAAGATTATGAAATACGAAGAAATTGTAAACGTACCGTAATATTTGGTTATAAGTGAAATAAACGGCTAAATGTTTTGTTGAACCAATATCACTTGGCTATGAAAATCAGGTCATATAAATTTTTATAGTTGCTTATAATTTATGCTGAATGTGAATTGGAGAATGATCAAACATCTACTGTTATTTCTGCAATAAAAGATTCCAAAGAGCATATAATAAATTTTATGAAACATTATAGTATAAATATTTATGATTTAGAAAAATATATAAGCAAGTATCAACTGATTTAAAACATTTTAAAAATTATCTGTATATATTATTATTATTTGATAATAACGTATTTAAGAAAATAGGAAATAAAGAAGATGAACTTGAGAATAATAAGGATTTCATCTTGGCTAATAAACATAAAGAAGAAGAATTATCGTTAGTAGTTACTAAAGATGAAAGTCTAATAGAAACTGAAGAGGAGTATTATTAGATAAAATTTTAAAATGAAATTAATTCTATGCAATATTTTAAAAGTTTATTTGATGAAAAAGATTTTGACAAATATTTTCCTCTATCAACTCTTAGTTCTTTTATAATTTTGTTAGCCACGAATTATCTTTCTAATAAATTTAAAATATCAAATAATAATTAATTATTATTTTAGAAACTATATGTATAAATTATCATCTTGTTAATAACGGGATTGTCCCTTTTTGATTAACATATCCTGACACGGCACCGCCTTTTGCTCTAGGCTGGCGCTCACCCGAGTCTCTCTCGATATCAGCCGTCCAGCTATTAATATGACAATCGGTTGTCATCGGTCGTCACCCCGCCCTTGACACTGAGATAAGGCCGCCGCCGCCGAATATGGATTATCGATATTGCGTTCTGTTTCGTTTTCGACGTTCACCTGAAGTGGCGTATTTTCTTCCAGTGTCTTTTTCTTTTTTGTTTTCGGTTTTGACGTTGACCTTAACTGGTTTACCTTACTCTCGTGTGCTGTTGTGTTTCATTGTTTTTCCCGTGTTCTTTTTTAACTTTGGATCGCGGCGAGTGTGCTCCTTACCGATGACAGAAGTGTAGTTGCCGTTGTTACATAAGTATAACATTGTACGAATCAAGGAGAATATCTAATATTATAAGAACCAATTATTGTCTTCCGACGTTGTTTCTCTGTTTAATATAAAATATTAAACATCTGTTTTTACTATTGTGCTTACGTAAATATATATACACAGACATAAATATAAATAATATATATATACATATATATACCTCGAGTGCCGTACCATTTGGATACGCGTTAATCCCAATGCCTCGACAAAATATAAACTGGACGCTCTTTATTCCGTTCTTTCCAAATTAATACATTATATTTATAAAAGAGAAAAAAGTAAATTTTTAAAACAAATATAAAATACTTTTGTGTCATATGCATATAATTGACGAAAAGAAACCTATATAAGGAAAATATATGTTATTTGTAACGTCATGCCGTTTATAATTATAGTAGAACAACAATATGACATCGAGTGGTGTTCGCACGTCATGCAAAACGTTGTCTGGTAATTTACTTAATGACGTGCTATGAAAAGGTCCCGTCTTACAGGTAATTTTTATTTTAATACATCTTAGAACACAGAGATTTTTGCTGTGATCTTCAATATAAATAAAATGTATTCACAAATTAATTTAGCCTCTGAACATTGTAATTACCAGAGATATTATGGAGAGAAAATTCAATATACTCTTAGAAACTTATATATTAACAACAGTAACGTATATGGGCCCTTAGTCGTTTTTAACAACCGCTTATTTACATACGTTAGCTATTGGAAAGAAAATTATTATATATTAGCTTGTTCTAAAATCTGAAATAATTTTTACATGAATGACTATTTAGTAGGCACAGATACTATAAAGTCGGCTGTTCAGTTACATGAGGAGGATCTTATCGGTATGACGTTGTGTAAATGGTTATCTAAAAAAAAACACATTTGTGTGCAATACGATGGAAAATAAAAATAATGTACGTGTACATCAATCGACTAAAGCAAAATTAAATAGTCTATCGTGGTACACCTTTAATGATAGGTTTATTTTTTAAATAAATTTTTGCATCTTACAATTATCAATGAAAAATTTTTAATCTGTATTTTATATTACTTGTAAACAAACAAATAACTTATCTGTCATAACATGTGCACTGTTCAACACAATTTCTTATTATTTACATGTATGTCAATTTATCCATTGTTAATTGTGTTATCTTAATATAATAATCATGCAATGTATAATTAAATACAATAAACTAAAAAGCGCTGACATCAATATCCCTGGATTGGGGGTACTAACACATACTTTAAAAAGCACTGATATCATTTCAGAGTTCATTTCGCCTTTGTCGAATTCCAATCTGGAACTATCATTAGTCACAAACCGTGTTATTGTTGGCTGTCGTTTTATGTGCATTTTATTTATATATACGAAAAGAATTTGTATTGATTTATTATTTTAATTTTGTGACGAGAAATTAATTAAAATAAAGATATTATCTTATTGAATCAATTATGAACAATATAATTATAAAATATAGGGAACGAATTTTATACCTCTATACATCGAAAAATTTGTCGAATTGTCTTAGGATTACAATTTATTGCTCAAAAATACGAAGTAAGTCAATTTGTTTTATCCCAATTATTTAAAATTAATAATGCGAGTAAAGAACGATAAAACAATAGATCAATACTCTCTTTAGAATTTGTACTAATTTATTCGCACTTTATAAATATACAAATTACAGGGATTCTAAAGTCGGATTTGGTGCCTAAAAAGAGTAAAAACCTAATGTGTATCTGACTAATAATAGATACTTTGACTGAGTATTTGAGGGTCGGATTACCCCTCCGCTGCTTCAGTGTCCTATTAAAGGCTCTTACCAATTAATTAATCTATATTCCTCAATAAAAGGAATCTACATTTGTTTCTTTAAGGGTCAATTCATGCCAAATCATCCAGAAGTGGTTGCACGACCCCCTCATTTTTTTCTTAAATTTTCAGGGTTTATTCTTTATGCTATAATTAGATTAAAACAATTTTTTTTTATGACCTCCCATTTTTATGGCTATTTCGATGTAAAAAATGTTAAAAATAGCCAGAACGTTAAAAACTCACAGATAATTCAATATTAACTTAATTGAATTGAAATTTTAGACTTGACATTATTATAACTTAGTTTACAAAAAAAAAAAATTATGTGAAATTCTAAACTTTAATAACTTTTTAAAAATGGCGATTTTTTTGTGAAAATTGGCGTTTTTGATCTCATAAAAAATCATTATGAAGTTATTATTTTGCAGTGATTTTCAAATTTGGTATTGTATAGTGTATAATATATGTTTCAACAAAATTTAAAATATTTAAAAACAATTTTCTTGGGATTTAGAGGCCTATAAAGTTAAAATTTTTTATAAAAATACACGTATTCTAGGTGCATTATTCCTGTTGGGAAACCTAATTTCAAAAAATTTGCTTTTAATTTTTTAATTATATATTTGATGAATACACCATAATAATTTGAAGTTTTTTTTTTATGTTAACTTTAAATATGGTATAATAACAGAAGAATTAAATTTGTTAAATAAATATTTATTATTAAATAAAATATTACGTATTATAGCATATTGTTTAAGACTTATAGATATTTAAATACAAAAAAATAAATAAATTGAATTATTAGCTTACATATTCAAAGCTTTAATTATAAAAAAACCCAGCACAGGGGGGTCGCGGCACCCTGGTGACGTGGCATAGTTGGATCAAGTATAATGATATCTGACAGTGATTAAAATCACTATCAAAAATAAACGCTTCAATGCAAATCTTTAGATAGTGTTTAATTTTAAAAAATTTGTGGATTATTCCAAAAAGCTACTTGATCTGCTGGTTCCTTATTAATATCTCGATTAAGATAAAGTATGTCGAATGAAAAAGGGTTTATTAAAAAATATTATTTCTCATAAAAAAATTGTGTGGATCCATAAACTTTTCAATAAGTTATAGCATTATAAAGTTAAATATAATATAAATAATAAAATCGAGAATTTTCACACGAAAATAGCATTCGGTAGCCATTTTCGCCGTGAAGACAAGTCCAGAGGTCAAATTTTTTTTTTTCAAATTAAAGTACATTACATTAGCTTTAATTTAAGATATATATAAAAGTGTCAGACCTTCCGGAACATTTTCAAAAGTTAAGTTGAAAAAGGTAATTTTTTGTGAAAATGTTGTCATTTTAAATCCTCCCCTGTGGGCAGGTTAAGTGTCAGATTTACAAAAAAAATATACCAAATGATAGGTAAAGACATCAAGCATCTATATTAAAAAAATTTATATTGATATGTTAATTTTTGAAAAAGTTACGGCAGTATTTAGTAAAAAAAATTGAAAAAATTTCGAAAATTAGCGATTTTTAAATTTGTAATTTTTTTGGAGGTTTCCCCCATTTACGGGGAACGAGGGAATTTTTTTCAATTTTTAAGGGTAATGTCTTCGACTAGATACGATTTGTGATCTTTTGACGTATCGTTGAAAGAAATCCGTTCGGTGAGAGCTGAGAAAAAGTGGTAACAGACAAAAAAAAAAAAAAAAACACATCATAGTAAAACCAATACCTTCTCAGCTTCGCATCGAAGCTAAAAGTATATAATTTATATTTAAACTGTTATAAAAGCAGATGAATTAAACAGGGCAAATATTAATTTAATTTGTATAGTATAAAATAATTATTTTCCTAAAGAAATTAATTGTTTGATAAATGGTATGGAGGTGTCGAAATAAAGTAGTTTATTACCATTAATACCGTCTCTGGACAATAAACACTTCACAAGAGTAGGTGGTAGGCTGAAAATTGCAGTGTTTATTGACGAATGTCAATGCCATCCTATAGCGTTACTGAGTGATAAGTGTAAGTTCACGGGTTTATTATTTTTACTTGAGCATGAATGTTTAATGCATAGTGGCTCGCAGGCAATACTATTTACTACTAAACTTTTGGTAATTGAACACACGTAAAACAGCAAAAAGAATTTTAAAACATTGTATTAAGTGTTACTGATATAGGCTGGTAATTATGCTAAGACTGCTAAGTAGGTCTCCCATTATGGGAGACCTACTTAGCAGTCAGTTGAAGGCTTTTTGATAAGTGGTTATGATTTCGCTGGGCCACTGATGATTAAAGACAGTCTTAGAAAAAGAGCATGTATAATAAAATGTTACGCTTGTACATTTATTTATTTTTTCCACAAAAGCAGTTCATATTGAATTATTCTGACTTGAGCACGAAATATTTTTTAAATGCATTAGATAAATTTTTTAGTAGACGCGGTATTTCAAAAATTTTATATAGCTATGATGTCACAAATTTCAATGGAGAAAATAGGTATTATAAGGAAGATTATGATTTATTTCAATTCCAGGAGGACAAAAATCAGCTGATTAATCATGTTGCGGAAAAAGACATGAAATGGCGATTCATTCCTGCGCGCTCGCCTCATTTTAGGGTTGTGGGAGTTCACTGTGAAGTCGAAGAAAGCTTTAATTTTTAAGGCATTAGGGGGGCCATTGTTAACATACAAGGAATTTAATATTAATTTAATAAAGATAGAAACCTGTTTAATCTCTCGACTATACTAACTACTAATTCCTTTGATTCATCTAATCTTTCATTCTTTACTCCAGCCTATTTTATGATTGGTGATTCGCTAAAGTAAGTACCAGAGCGAATGAAACAGGCATTTTAACAAATAGACTAGATTGTTGTCATCGTGTTCGACACTCTTTCCAAATTTTATGAAAAAGATGGAGATGGGAGTATCTAGCGCAGTTACAAGAGACGGTAAAGTGGTCTACTAAAAAGAGTCCTAATAATAAAGTTGGCACGGTTGTTTTGTTATTTGATGAAAGTTTAGCGCCGTTAAATAGAAAGCTAGTCCACGTACTTTCTGTGCAATGTGATATAAGTGGTACATTACGTTCTGAAATAATCGAAAATGCAAATGGAAAAATAAATAGGGTTGTTCGACAGTTATGTCCATTGCCTTTTGAGAACAATTATGTTCTCAATTATTGACAATAATGTCAATTAAATATATTATATATAAATGTAACATAATAGTAAATTTTTTTATTATTAGATGTTTTATTGTATAGATAAATTATAAAAGTTTGAATGTGTTTTTTCCAATACTAACTGTCTAGGTCCTAGTTTGTAAACCATTGGATAAGTTTCACTTTTGTATATTTATAATTTTTTTTTGTTTGATTTTATTTATATTATTTAAATTAAAAACAGTGTTTTAAGGCACCCTCTTTGTTATGGCCTATCATAATCTTATCTTATCTTTTAAATGTACGTGGACGGTCGTTTACCACCACCCAAGTTAGTTGGCGACAATCCGTAGCACTGCTAATATGGCAACACTTTGGATAAAGTAAATCAATTATATTGTCGTTGTGTCTAATTTATTAATATTTTAAGAAACCTATTAAATCCGTTCGACTAGCAAAATAAAAAGTAAATACAGTTCATAACAAAAAGATTACAGTTATTGTGAAATGAGAAATTGGCCGATTTTGGAGTATTTTTCTTAAAAAATATATATCTATATTACTTAAAACTAAATTCAATTAAACGTTTTATTGTGTATTAAACTATAAAAAAAGGAAGACGTTTCTATAATTTGTTGATTATGAGTAATGGGTCTCTTTATTTAATGGGCCTCTAAGTTGAAAAACAAGATGTTGAAATGTTTTTAAATTTGGTATTGGTTTTGAAATCATTTTTTTAACTTGTTACATACAATACATAGAAAATTTTTACGACAGTAATTTTAGTCAGTGTTAGATATGATTTAACTCCAAAAATCTCAACTAAACTTCGCCTTTTTTTGTTTTTAATTTTATTTTTACAAAACTTCTTATGTTGTACAATATCTTACTTGAGAAGAGTAAAATAATGTGGATTGTTCGCCTAATGGTCCTTTTGCATATAGTAAATCGAACAGATTCCCACCAGGTACTAGAGGCATAATCAAGTACAATCTTTCAGGATCTTTGGCTAAAAAATGCAGACCTATAGTAAATGGAAATAGACCATCCAATGCTGCTAGAATATTTTTTTCTGTGTCGACATATTTCTTGTGGGTGTCAGCGACTTTATGTGTAAAAACTTTTGCGATTTTCAATTGGCCTGAGCTTATATGATGAACCATTATAACATAACCAAAACTACCTTTAGCTATGTTTTGCAATGTTTTGAATTCCGAAAAGGGAACATCAACAATTTTATTTTGTTCATATCTAATCATATATTTTTCTATTAATTTTTTTGCAAAAATATTCGTGTAAAAAATATTACTATCTTGAAATGTCAATTTTATAATTTATTGACTTTTAACGATATGTTTTGTATTAATTTTGTCTAAATTTTTACAAGTTATTTACTCATAAATTAAACATAAGAAGAACTGTCAGTGTACAATTTATTATTTTATTATTCAATAAAAATGTTTTTTTTTATGTTAAAAATGTTTATTACATTTATAAAATTGTTACTTTAATCAATAGCCTGCTGTAATTTCATGTTTTAGTATGTATAAAAAAATAGTATAATGGCGTAAAAATAAGAAATTTTCGGTTTATAAACTAGTTATTATGTTTTAAGAGTTTTAAAATATTGGTACTTACTTTTTTTTAAATATCTCTTTTTGATTAAAAATATATTTATTAATGTTCTTTATTTCTAAGACACTATTCATTTTAATCAAAAGTTACTTATCAATTATTATTTTAAAGGTCATACTTCAAAACTGTAGATTAATTTCTAAAAAAGTAAACAAATTAACTCGCGTTTCTTAGTAATTATTTAAATTATGATAAATACATTATTTCAAAATAAAATGTTAGTACTTTTTTTATTTTATTAATGTTTTGAAAATTCCCATTACTTATTTTGCATTAAACACATTTTTTAAGAATTAATAGACTCTTCGGACTTTTTTAAACCATTTATTGTATTATATTTTTCATTTAAAAACAAAAAGGTTTTTTTAAATGCAATTGCAAAGTTTGAAAGGTTATATCTCAGAAATTTTGATAATTTAAATTAATTCTTAACGATTATATTAGCAGTTAAGGCTTGGGACTAAAGTGTATAAAAATATTTTTTGGTCTACGTCCAAAACACACAAATTCGTGAAAAATTATTATAGGTATATACATAATACTTTATAAACTAAATACAGTACTATATACACATAGTATAATCTAAATAATTAATAATACAATATTATTAATAAAATTAATTTATCAATTTTGGATAAATTATTTACATAAATAATTTTATACAGAAAAATATTTCATTTATAAAAAAATTAGAATTATCTTTCAATTTCCAAGGATAACGTCTTCAATTAGATGCCATTTGATTCTTTTGACATATATTTCAACAAATCGGTCCAGTAAAGGAGCTGAGCACAATAAGTAACAAAAATAAATAATAATAATATATGCATGCCATGATAAAATCAATACCTTTTAATCTTCGTTTTGAAGCTAAAATCACCACATTTCAATATATATATATAAATTTTTATATCTTTGTTTTATGATAATAATTAACATTAATTTTGCTTAACAAATGTTTTGCTTACACTTTTAATTTGTTTACTGATAAATTTGCTTTAAATAAATTGTTTAATTTATAATTTAATATAAAATATAAAATGTATGAATAATGGTTAATATCAGCTATAATTATGCTCAAGAACACATGACTAATTTTCAAAAAATCTATTAATATATATATTTTTTTAGATTTATTACATGGATAAAGTAAATACATATTGTCAATTTTATACAATACATGTATATAAATTACAAATTTTTCATAATTTCTTGTCTTACTTGTATTGTTTCAACTCTCTTAAAAATCTTTAAAAAATAGGTATAATGAACTCGACATTATGCTCAATCATATTGCTTACAACTTTTTATCAACTTTCAAATACAATTGATTGGGACAAAGTTCCTCATGGAAAGATTATGAAATATGAAGAAATTGTAAACGTACCAGACAATATGATTTTAAGTGAAATAAACGGCGGTAATATTTCGTTAGAGCAATATCACTTGGCTATGAAGATCAGGTCGTATAAATATTTATACTTACTTTTAATTTATACTGAATGTGAATTAGAGAATGATCAAACATCTACTGTTATTTCTGTGATACAAGATTCCAAAGAGCATATAATAAATTTTATGAATCATTATAATATAAATATTTATGATTTAGAAAAGTATAAACTAGTATCAACTGATTTAAAACATTTTAAAAATTATCTGTATATATTAATATTATTTGATAATGATGTATTTAAGAAAATAGGAAATAAAGATGATGCACTTGAGAATAATAAGGATTTTATCTTGGCCAATAAACACAAAGAAGAAGTATCGTTAGTGGATACTAAAGATGAAAGTCTAATAGAAACTGAAGCGGAACATTATCAGATAAAACTTAAAGAGGAAATTAATTCTATGCAGTATTTTAGAAGTTTATTTGATAAAAAAGAATTTAATAAATATTTTCCTTCGACTACTTTTAGTTGTTTTTTAAATATGTCAGCCATAGATTATCTTTCTAATAAAATTAAAGAGATCTATAATATACCATATAAGAAATAAATTAAATAATAAATTACTAATTATTATTGTAGAAACTATAAGTATAAATTGTTATATTTTATGTATGTATTTCATAATGTTTGTATTTTTAAATTACATAGAAGTTTAAATATTATTTGTATTGCATTATAGTAATAAGCACATTTTAATTTAAAAAAATTAAAGAACGTTTAACAGGTTACGTCAGAAGTTGACTTTCTTGGTTTGTAAAATAAAAATAAATTATTAAATATAAGTACACTTAACTTAAATTTTTTATAATTCAAACATTTTCGTTAGCTTTAAACGAAGGAAGGAATGATCAAAAAAATAAAGAATTCTTCATTTGCTAATAAAAAGAAAATATTTTTAGAAAATGAATCTCAAAGTCATGCTATTTTGTATATTTTTTATATCCCAATTTTTTATGAATAAATATGGAAAATATGCATCTATATATAAATATTCAAAAATAATCTTTATTGTACTTTCCAGAATAAATTAAATGCCTTAAAAAAATTATTTAACCTGTAGTTAAATTAGTTAAAATAACAGTTTGCTTATTTGGAAAATTATAGTTTAATTAAAATAATGAAAAATTAACATAAAAAATTTAATTTTTATGGTGAATACTAACAAAATATGTTTTTAGATTTAAAAACTTTTGTGATTATTACTTAACATAAATTTATATTAGAAATATTTTTTCTATGTTGCAAGTTAATATACTTGTTTAATTACACACCGTATTTAAACATGAGATATTTTTATATGTTAACACTTCTATACCATTATAAACATTAATAATTTCACCCTTAATTTTTTCACAAGCTTTTAGCATTGATGCGAAGTAGAGAAGTTATTAATTTACTAAAATTTTTTTTTTTTTTGTGTTTATTATAACTTATTCTCATACTCACTGAACCGATTTTAATAAACCAAATGTAAAAAGATCACAAATCGTATTTATTCGAAAAAATTACCCTCAAAAATTGAACATTTTCTCCACGTTCTCCGTAAATGGTGGAAATCCACTCAAAAAATTACGATTTTTAAAATTGGTAAATTTCGAAATTTTTTTTTTAATGGCCATAATTTATTAAAAAATGAACAAATCAAAATATTTTTTTATATAAAAATCTTAGGTATTTTCCTTTTATTTGATATAATTTTTTTTAAAAATCTGACTATCTGCCCACAAGGGGAATTTAAAATAGCTACTTTTTTACAAAACTCAACTAATATCAAAATAATTTTTTTTGATAAGTACATAGGTGTTTACTTATAATTTGGTATATTTTTTGTGAAAATTTTACCCTTTACCTATTCACGTTACAAAATGGCAACTTTTCGGCAAAAAAGCAGAATATTTTTAACATAACTTTTGAAAATGTTCCGGAAATACTCCGAGCATTAAATATGTCAAATTACAGTTTATATGAAATACTATATGTTCAAAAAAAAAAAAAAAATTTGTCTCGGCACCTTTTCTTCTATGGGCCACGAATTAAACAAAAATTGTATTTTCATATAAAAATCACTGTTTAACGTGTTAATATTTTGATACTTAAAACTGATATAACTTTCTGGTTAAAGATTAAAATGTAATGTTTATTAGTGTTTGGATTTCGAACAAGATATATTTTGTTGAAATAAATTAAAATCAATTGAAATATTCACTTTATCGTGGTACCATAGCAAAGTGAATAATATTCGATTAATTATATAAATATTTACTTTGACTTATGAATATAAAATTAATTTCAAGAACAGAATTAAAATTTTTAGATATCTTTATATAACAATTACTTTTTAAAATACATTCTCACTCTCGCATCAAAGCCAAAATGTTTGGTATCAATATTCTATACTTCTTTTGGCTCTTAAACTTAAGCTATCCACTTTGTCCGTGCTTTCCCTACATGATTTAAAAAAGTATATGGTTATTTGTTTCAACAGTACAGACGTATATTTTTTTAAATATTATGATATAAACTCTATTTAAACAATTTGTCTTATATTAGTCTTCCTGAGCACAACCTAGTTTTAGAGTAACTAAAATAATTTTATTATAACTGTTATGAGATAATATAATTAATAATTTTTTGGTATTGCTATGTATTAGTAAACATTTTAATAAATATAACATTTGAACTTTATTTGACATATTTTAACAGCACAAAATTTTTTTTAGAAATTTAGGTAGGGACTTGAAGAGCACAAGCTTCCCCAGAAATTTGTAAATTATTTTTTAACAAAAATGTTTTTTAAAAGGATTATGAGTAAAAAATAGGTATTAAAAAAATGTCTATTTTAATATACAGGTCCTTCCATAAGAAGAATCTAAGTATATAAGATTTAGAAGTTAATACTTGTAGAAAGTTGAGATGATATTAAATAATACTAAATTGCTATAACGATAAAAACATTAATCGATATTCAATTTTTTGAAATTTCCATCGAATCCAAACATTTTTGACTGCTCATTGCTATTGGTGTCTACTGGTTTTTTCTCCATGTCAGCTTTTAGGGAAAAAAGACCGTTTAAAAATAGATCTTTCTCAGCCAAAACACATTGTTTATTATGTTCTATTAAATAAAAATAATTACAATTTAAATATCGAGTTTAAATACAATTATAATAATTAATAACCTCCAAGTTCTTTTATTGATTTTTCTTCACCTCCATAATCAGATGGAATACAATGCTTGGGTATGTATTTTAATAAATTAGCTGGATCTTGATGCATAAATATCTGTTTAAAAAGAAACCCTTTTTTTTACTATTATCTTATGCAAGTAGTTCATTTAAACTTTTTATTAACTTACACGTGACTGAATTTTTTTTGTAACTAGCGTCTTTAACAAATTGAAAATTGTCGTGGAATATGATGGAGCATTCACAAAATGCACTTGAATTAGCTTGTAAGGGAAATATGACTAAAAAATTGAAACCAAATATTTTAATTAAAATAAATTTCACAAATAATTATAGTTTTTTCTATAAAATTCTTTAACATTACTGCAATCATAAGTATGCGATAAGTGGTAGTAAAAGTGTTGTTGCTGTCCTTGACCAGTTTACAATAAAACTACTATTGTTCCAAAATTCTTAAAAAATCTTGGGACTCCATATATTGCTTAATTTTTTCATATATTATTTTCATTTTAAATTAAGAGTACTTACTGAGGCATCCAACGAATTTCTGAGAAAAGTAGGCGTCATTTGGGTGAGGATTTCATTCTTGTTCGCAATAGACATATCATATATTATAATCACTCCTTTTACGCTTATCGTTTTAAAGTTTAAATCCATAGACATATAATAATATTTCACCCAGTAGTCCAAGTATCTACCTGGAACATCTACGTCTGTCATGTTTTTTACTACTAAAACTTGATAGCCTTCATCTGTTAAATTATTGCAAAACCCAAACCATCTGTCAGTAAAATAATGAAAACACTAGTTTATATTTATAATTATGTGCAATAATTTCTAAACAATAATATAATTGCTTTACGTTTTTCTCATTGCTGTTTGAATATCGTCTCCAAGAGGATCACGTACCCCAAAAAACTCATTCATTGTTGCTCTACAACAAAAATATCCGTTTAATGATTCTTTTGTTCTTTCTAGTCTGCATTTACGACCAATGTAACAGTTCTTCAACCATTCTCGATCTGATCCATTTAAATTAAACAAATAGTAAGATGCCAATTACTTACGTTAAAACTCATTTTAATATTTATCTAATAGTATATTTGAAAGAGTAATATATTAAAAAAAAACCAATGTATTTGTAAGAAACTCGGCTACACATCATACTTTACTATTGTTTTTATTGAGTACCGACGCTCGCGATACCGAATAGAAAGATAAAATGAATATGTAATAAAGATAAAACAAGGAGGTAAGTGAAACCAGTTTATATATAAGATGATTGATTTAAAAATTTAACAAAGTATCACGATAAAAAATTTAAAATTTGTTTTGACATTTAAGTCGCTCCTACTTGAATAGATCCTGAAAATTCGTGGGCCCTGGTGACTATTCCCCTGAAACCCCTTTAATCCAGTTCTGTACAAATGAATAGATTTATAACCTATTAAGTAGCTTAGGAAAGCGAGATAAAAACTGAAAAAATATAAAAAAGCGTGGTATTTTATAATTACTACTCAATCAACAAAAATAACAATTTAAAATTACACTATATACATATGTTAGGCAAGTAAACAGTAATATCATATGACAGTTTCAGGGCGGCCACCAATATATTGATATTGAAAAAATATATTATTTATGATATTGTATTAAACTTACATTTATTTCGTTTAATCATATCACCATTTAAAAATACGTATTGTTAATTAGTTTATAAATGAAAATATATTAATTTCTTATTACCGTTTATATTAGGTAAATGTGGCATGATTTTTAACCATTCAATAAGTTTATCAATTTCTGAGTCAATTTGGTCATCTTTTGATAGTTTCTCTTGGCTTTTGATATCTGACATACTGTTGGATATTTTAGAGGTAGGTTTTATACTTAACAATGTTTCCCTAGTTATATAAACTGAATAAAAAATATACTAACAAAGCTCTTTAAAATATACATTTAAATATTTTATAGATTTTCTAAATGGATAAATTTCATCATGATAAAATTATTATTTTATTGTTATTTCATTTTAATTGTTTTGTTAATTAATCTGTCACAGATATCATTTGTGTTGGATAACAATAATTGAATTATCATAAACAGTTATTACACGTAATTATCCATGTTTTATTGACGTCAAAAATAATTAAAGATTTCACTTTTAGCGTTTATCTAACCAACTACGGATAAAAACGATAATAGCCTGGGTTTTAAACAATTATTGTAGCATTTCTTTTACTCTTTTAAAATAAAATTTCGTGATTGTAGAATATTTAGTAAATTTTTTATATTGTAGAATATAATTACTAATTATCTAATTAATTATCTGAAAAAAACGCTTGACACATGCTTAAATAGAGCTTGCGTTAACGAAAAGAGCAGTCAAATGTTTATATATAATTTATATTTAGCTAACTGGGGCGGCCACATCAACCACAACTGTGAATCTGCGCCTGTTCCCAAGTCGGGCTGAAATGTAGACTATTTTAATTTTATAAAAAAAATAAATTATTTGATCTAAGTTATTTTTATATTTATAATTTCTTAAAATAAGATACAACTTATATTTACTTGAAAAACTTACATTATATTATTGAAAAATATTTATAATATACACAGTATCGAACCTTGCTGTGGTAAAAATTACTTAGCTTCTCGTGAGAACTGAATGAATATATTATAGTAAAAGTCAGTGGTTCAGGAAAATCTGTAAAAACATAATTTAGAGTTTAATGTTAGGATTGAGGCATTTAATAATGATCCATAATAGCAGTGGGATATTTTATAATGAATCATAAAATAGCAATAAGATGAAAGAAATGTCAACATGAAGATTCCAGGAGTGATAAAACTAACTGGAATTGTTGATTAATTGAAAAGACTCCAAACTATCTTATGAAAGTAACTAAATAAACTAGTAAGAACAACAGTGAAAACAGTGAAGCACCATAAAGTTCAATATTATATGTTTACTGAAGTGTAATATTAGTACACTTCGGTGATAAACCAATTTTTATCATAAAACTCTATATAGGATGCACATAATAGACTATAAAGTCTGAGTGCATGGACATTGAATATACTCACCCTTTTAATAACTAAAACTAACTAAAACTATTACATAATTTTATAAAATATTTGAATAATAATGTTATTTTTCAGTAGTTTAAACTATTTTATATCATAATTCTAATTAATTATAACATTCTAATTAACAAAATAAGGATATATAGTTTTTAATGATTCAATTTTCGAATAAATTTCTTATGTAGTATGTTAAGTAAGTAAGAAGACGGGTATCTATTGTTCTCATTGATTGTAAAAACTTAATTGTTTTTTTAATTATTGAACATTCTGTATAGTAGAGAATAATTTTTTACAGATCGGATGTTTTAGCTTTGATGTGAAGCTAAGTAAGCATTAATTTTACTTGATGTGTTTTTTTACTTTTATTTTATATTTTTTTTGTCTGTTACCACTTTTTTCAGATTTCCCCAAACCGATTTCTTTCAACGATACATCAAAAGATCACAAATCCTATCTAGTGAAAGACATTACCCTCAAAAATTGAAAAAATTTCCCTCGTTCCCCGTAAATGAGTGAAATCTCTAAAAAAATTACAAATTTAAAAATTGCTCATTTTCGAATTTTTTTCCATTTTTTTTACTTAAAACTGCCATAACTTATTCAAAAATGAACAAATCAATATAATTTTTTTTAATAGATGCTTTATGTCTTTACCTATCATTTGGTATATTTTTTTTTTCAAATCTGACCTTATACTTACCCACAGGGGGGGGATTTAAAATGACAACTTTTTCACAAAAAATTAACTTTTCAATTTAACTTTTGAAAGTGTTCCAAAAATTCTGACACTTTTAGCTTCGATGCGAAGCGGAGAAGGTATTAATTTTACTATGATGTGTTTTTTTTTTTTTTTTTTTTTTTTTTTTTCTTTTGCCACTTT